AAAGAAAAAAAAGCACATTAGTTCGATGTTATACAACGTTGACAAGAACATCAATCCCTTAAACTCAAATAATTGTGTCGAAAGTCGTTTGCTTGTCTTTCTTTCCTCGTTAGAGATAAAAAAAATACACCGAGTAACAATAAGAAAACTAATTGAAAGGACCTACAATAACAATGTCTTTTCTTTTTTCCAACTAAAAGAATAATCCTCTTTGCATGTGTGATCTCCACTCTATCGACAAGTGAAAGTAGAAAAGGAAAAAAGAAGTGAAAGAGAGAAGCTACAGTTCTAAGACACAACGAGACTAGTTAAATTGACTATACATTCTGTACAACTCAACTGTATAGGGTGATGATGATGAACGAGGAAGGAGAGAATAAGAGGAAAGAACAGTGCCTGCCTTTACCTCTTTTTTCCTCTTTTTATAGTAACTAGGGTAACAAGGTAAGGACGTATAGAGAGAATATTATTCCCACATACTACAAACGGAATAGAGAGAAAATGAAAGGGAGAGAGACACGCACATTTAAATGAATATTCGATCATTTAATTTTCATGTTCGAGAAGAATTATAGAGAACAATCAAAAACAAATCCATCATGCAAGACGTTCGCGTGATAAATGCATCAAATATCTAACCAATCTTTTCATTTTCATTGTGCAACGGAAACTGATTGAATCGGTTGGAGACTGGAAGTCTTTGAAATACACTAGACGTGATCTTTAGAATTTTATGACTAGCATACCTGTCGATCGTGTCTTGACAATTAACCTTGGCATAGTTAGCATTTTATCACTATTTAGCAAAGAGAAAAAAAGATGAAATAGTTGGCCGGATGTACGTGATTGAACTTTGAAAATTACAGTACTTGTGAAGAGACTATTTTGAAATCAAGGACACGAAATAAGATCATTTAAGGAAGAATTATTAAGTTAAGCAGTTAATAAATGTATGCTAAGATGATTGCAGAGGATCTACTCATTTTATGAATTCCTTGCATACATTGTTCCTTTTAAATTGTTAACAATCAATCTGTAGCTACTAATCAAAACCGAATCGATATTGTGTTCTCCGCAAACTGATTGTCGCACAACTCTCACAGCAATTTATCGTTTGTTTCTGGTGACAAATTGACCGTAGATATAAAGTAAATGGTAGAAAGCGCTGTTTACTAACGACCTCTACAGTTCGAAGAAAATTTCTTTTGCTTGTTGATGACCTCTATATTGAAGGCTATTAGTTAGATGTATGAATGAATGATTAACAAACAAATATCAATTGTTTTCACTTTTAGTCTATAGACGTGTTGAAATAATATCTTTATTTCATTTCTATTCTCAGATACAAAATTTGTTTCACTGACAATTAAATGGCTAACGACGAACCAGGTAGAATTCAGACATTTGTTTTTCTTGTTTTGGAAGCATTTTTTTGTGGAATTTTAGAGCGAAGCATCCGCCGTGCATCACGATCTCGTTCTCGCGACCGTAAATCACGTCGCCATCGAGATCGTTCACGCGATCGTTCGCGGGATCGCGATAATAAACGACGTCGTTCACCGCATGAGAGTAGCCGACACAAACATAGTCGTTCTCAATCTCCAAAGGACCGTTCGAAAAAAGAAAATAAGAGTGAAAAGAAACCAGCGAAAAAATACAAGTACTGGGATGTTCCACCCGTGGGCTTTGAACACATTACTCCTGTTCAATACAAAGCTATGCAATGTAAGTACAGAAGTTCTTCATGATTCTCTTTCAATTGAATGACATTTTTGTTCAGCATCGGGTCAAATTTCACAAATGTTCACTGGAAAAGATTGGAGTGCCAATACAGCTGCAGCCACACCAGTACTTGGCAGTCATGTAGTCCATCAATCTCGACGATTATACGTTGGAAATATTCCATTTGGTGTTTCTGAAGTAAGAAGACTATTGTTCGTTATGAAATCAAATTGTTTTTATTTCATTTTTCAGAATGCGATGATGGAATTTTTCAATCAACAAATGCAACTTACTGGCTTATCACAAACAGAAGGCAATCCTGTTATTGCTGTTCAAATAAATCTCGATAAAAATTTTGCCTTCTTGGAAGTAAGTTTGGGAAATATATCTTGCTCTTTTTCTTGAAGAAAACTTATGTATCTATGTGCATTAGTTTCGTTCCATTGATGAAACATCTGCTGCTATGGCGTTCGATGGAATTGTTTTTCAAGGTCAATCACTTAAAATACGTCGACCACGAGATTATCAGGCCATGCCCGGTGGTGATTTACCCAATATGAATGTACCTGGTAAGTCTTTGCTACAAAAGGTCGACATTGCAGAACATTCTTCTCTGTGCTTTAGGTGTCGTCTCAACTGTAGTTACTGATTCACCGTTCAAGATATTCATTGGTGGTTTACCAAATTACTTAAATGACGACCAGGTAAGAAAGGATTATTTTACTAAAACTGACGCAGCGTCTGTATTGATAACAGAGTGTGATTCAGAACCGTCTTGAATTCTGAAATGAATTAGTCATTAAAAGGAAGTCTGCATTCTCCCAGGGAGCCCTACTGAACATTAACTAGATGTGTTTATTCTATTCGAGACGGTTCTGAAAGATTTCCATGCTAGCAGTTGAGATGAAGCAAGCTGATGTTTTCTGTTGTTGTTCTAGCATAGGCCAGCGATGCTGTGTCGAGTGTTTGGTTAAAATAAACCTAAGGAAACTATTCTCGTTCGGTATGACTCTAGAACAACGAAGAAGCGGACATACAGTCGTTTTCTGTGAGTTCGATTTTAGATAATCAAGGCGACGAACGAATTCCGTTAGCACACTACTAAAATGCTTATTTTTATCGTTTAGAATTTCTCTTTTTTAGTCTTTAGACAATTCATGGTTGGGCGGATTCTCTTTTAGATATTTATTTGGAAAAAAAAGACTTCTAAAACCCTCGTTTTTCTAGCACAGCTCCATTCCTTTCTATTCACTTTACTTATGTAACATTTTTAGGTCAAAGAATTATTGATGAGTTTTGGCCCATTAAAAGCGTTTAATTTGGTTAAAGACACAGCAACAGGACTTTCCAAAGGTTACGCTTTTTGTGAATATAGTGATTCTAGCGTTACAGATGCAGCTATCCAAGGCTTACATGGTATGCAGTTAGGTGACAAGAAATTAATCGTTCAGTTAGCCAGTGTTGGTGCCAAGAACATGCCTGGAGTAAGTGTTGCCGAAAAGTTTTTTTTGTGATCGATTTATCATTGTTCATTATCTAGATGCCTGGCGTACAGATACCAGGTATACATATACAACAACCAAGTGTAAGTACCGAAGTTTTGTGCTTATTGAATATGGTTACTGAAGATGAATTACGTGATGATGACGAATACGAAGGTAAGACATTTACGGATAATGGGATTCGTCTGGTTGAAACCATTCTTTCTCCGTTCTGTAGACATTATGGAAGATGTTCGCGAAGAATGTAGTAAATACGGTTTCGTTAAAAGCTTGGAAATTCCACGTCCGATAGCAGGCGTGGATGTACCTGGCGTCGGAAAGGTAAGGTCGAGATGGAAAATCGCTTCCGTGACGGAAATGTTTGTTTTATTTTCTAGATTTTTGTTGAATTCACTTCAATAAGTGAATGTCAAAAGGCGCAACAAGCTTTGTCAGGACGAAAATTTTCGGATCGTGTTGTTGTGACATCGTATTACGATCCTGATCGTTATCACCGACGTGAATTCTAAAACGTCAAAACAATAAACTTACATATATTCAAAAGGTTCTTTTTGTGTTTTCCTTTTGTACAAGATTCAATGTCTTTGTTCTATATGCGTTTGTGTGTCTGTCTGATTTCTTTTTTTTGTCTCTGTATCATAAAAAACAATACACAATAAATATACGACAGAGATAATTTAGTAATGGTTTCTATTGAGTGTTCACCTTCGTATTAATTAACCGCTCGAACATTTTCATAAACAAATGTATTGGAAGATACATTCAGTCATTGAACGAATGACCTTGATTGCATTCAGAATTAATCAATAGCTGTGTTTTTATTAGAAAAAAAATAACATGATAGTGGATTCGTGCTTGTCACTATGTCCTTGTTATGGAAACGTACCATTTATTATCTCTACGATAAGAATAAATTCGAAAGCGTGCTCACCACTTATGGTTGTCGTATCAATTAATTGTTACGATAACACCAGCGATAGTGACCTTGGGACAGAGACAATCCTTCGCATACGAGAACGTGTTCTAATTATGCAAGGTCGAGAAGTACTGACTGTTTTGAAACAAGTGACATATTTCTTTATACATGTTTGTTTAGACGAATAGCAACGGTTGACGAAGTAGCAAAAGCAAAGGTATAGAAGAAGAAAAAAACTGAAAAGAAAAGCAGAGGAGACTCAGTATCTCGTTGGAGGAAGAAAAACCACTCGTCGGCAACCACATATATGTACGTTTTGCAAAACATTTTTGTTAGCGTCATTATTGAGTAGAACATATTGATGCGACGAATAAAAAAGCTCGATTATCGACACTAATAAATTTAAATCAACGCGCGTAACATAGGCAGTAATGGGTAGTCGTTTTGGTAGAATTCGAGCAGCAACCGATCCGTTCTACACTCCTGTGCCACCTCCAACAGCCTATCAAACGGTTTATGATCCAAGTGGTGGACTGGGCGCGTACGATCCTTCTGGAGGTTACGAATATGTACCCACTCGGACGATGGGCAATTTATACAGGGGTTCTGTCGTACCTCAACCATCGAGATACGGCGGATTATATGCTCAAGGTAAAGTATTAGCGAGAAAGAAAAATAAATAAATCCAACTAATAAAATTTCGATCTATTACGCAGGTTTAAATCAAATACCTGGTGCTCCTCCCTGGAATTATGGAAACTATTATTTGGGTAATACGACAATGCAGATGATGCCCAATATGGTGGCAAATTTCTACTGTGTGCCGCAATCGAGCAATATGCCATCGATGCCTTGCTGTATGCCACAGTCATATAGTATGCCAATGAATGCGCCAATGGTAGCTGCCGCAACGGCTTTACCTATTGCATTCAATCCCTTAGTTCAAGGTATGTATCCGTCGGCATCGATGAATCCTGTTAATTGGATGACTCCGAGTTCGTTTATGTCCGCATTGACTAGTGGCCCTATGCCTTATCGTCCTCCAGCATATCAATTTCCCAGCAACGTCGGTATGGTGATGACCATACCCTATGGCACACCAAATCCGTTAATTTCAGCGCCAGCATATAACATGCGTACTCCTTCGTATAGCTATGCCCCTCAATCGTCTTGCTGTTCTTATTACCAATGCTGTCCACCATCTTCGCCATCAGCTATGTCTCCACCAGTAACTTATTACCCGCACCCTGTTAGTGTACCCCAACAGTATCCTGTTCCATATGCAGCTCCTTTTCCCATTCCCAACATACAGCAAGTACCAGTCGTCCGACCTATACCTGTCATTGCTCCACCTGTCGTAGCTAATATTCAACAACCATTACCTCTTCCCTATACAGAAGCTCTACAACCATCGCAGGGAGCGTACACAAACGGTGTCATTGCTCAGCCTACAGTATTGACGTCCCATTACGATGCGAGTCAAAACTTATCCACGTTCAATGAATCGACGAGAGGCACATTGCCAGTTTACAATCCATCGGATCGGTCAAACTCTTTGATTGGCCAACCGATTCTATCAAGTTTTTCCAGTATTTCGTCGGATCGTTATCGTCGCTATCTGCCATCAATACCTCGCTCATCTTTTACTCACAATGATATATATTCAACTATGCCACGAAGTGATCCAATCATTCCTCCTATTCTCTATGGAGAATTGATTTCAGATTCTGGATGGTTGCCGAAGGATACTGAGCTTCCAATGTATCCAGCAATATTGGGCAAAAAGAAGCATAAAAAGCGACCATCGTTCGGAAATGAAACTTTTAAACCGTTGACAAACACAAACAGCCATCGTGTTTCATTTCTTACGCGCCGACGTCGCCATCACTCTGGCTCATCAGCATCAGAATACGATTGTACCATCTGCCAAGAGCAACGCGGAAAAAGTCGTCTTCGTAAATACTATGGTTCATCCACACTATCCTCGTTATTATCATCAGCAAAAAACGCCGGTCACCGTTTGCTTTCGTCAAACGATTCCGTTCCGTCGTCTGCACTCTATTCTCCGCCAACATTAGAAAAAGAGGATTACAAGAGTCATACGCGTAATTCAATAAGTAAACGATCGAAGAAAAAATCATCGTCATCAGATCGATCAACTTCACCCATCTTACTCCGGAAGTCATCGTTGCGAAACTCGCGACAAAACATGACCATACATGAAGTTGACGAAGAACAAGAGCAAGAACAAGAACAAGAAAAGCCGGAAACAAAACTATCCGATGACAATGATTCGAGCTTAGAAAAATCAGAGCAGCAAACATCGCAAATCAGCCTCTTATCGAAGGATGAATAAAAGTTTGTCACCTCACTCTCAACTAAGCAATCCGCCTGACTCAAATAAAGTCCAGCTTTTTCTTAGTGTGATAATTTTAAAAAAATAAAGAAAAACTTTTACAATCCATAGCTAATATCTGACATTGTTATGTTTTGTATTGTCTATTTTTGCACGAAGGAAAACAAAATTCCTTCATATATTTATATCATAATGTTTAATAAACAATCCAACCAAGTTGTTTGCATGGTTTCATGGTTCATTAAGTTGTCACTGATAGACAATTGTCTTCTTGTCTGCCATTGAAATTAATAGCAAACGTTTCGACAACTTGACGTGTACGTTGTTCTTTTCTTTCCATGCATAACGTACCGCTGTTAAGCGAATGATGCGCGTCTTTCAGCCCTAACTCTGAGTATATCATTTCCAGATCTTTGCAGTAGAATTGTCCTACTTGTAACTGCATTTCTTCCAAAGCGTCTAACTAGTAATCGGAAAACAGCTGTCTTCGCATGGTTTACATAGCAATATCAAATCTTTCGTCAACAGACACAATAATCGAGATATTTTGTTGACTTTCCATGTCGACTAACAGTAATTGCCTTTTAACCTTCATAATTCAGAAACAAAATTGCTCCAAAGAAAAAGTTTCACGCATGGCGTGTAAATGTCTCGTGCATTATCACTTTTATTGAAACTTAACGTACCAAGTAGGTAGAGTGATGAGTTACAGTACACCTTTTTTTTCTTTTTTTTGTACGAAATCTTCTAAATTAACTAGAACTTCTATTTTTAACAATCATGGAAAGACGAGCGCATATTTCATCATTCTAAACAAATTATTCAACACATTCGTGTTAGTTTCACGCATTCACGACTGCATTAGTATCCGAAACAACAGCACACGCTACATTATTTTCCAGTAAATTGTCACCACCATGTTGAGCATTTTGTCGACGTAAAGGTGAGCGAATAAGCAGAGTTATCACCCCACCAACAATCAAAATAACACATAGCATCACATTCGAAATCAGAACTTTATGCTGTTTGAATATAAGATATTCTTGAAATTGTGTTGTACATAAACCAAAGATCTATTAACAGACATTTCCATACAAGAAATGATAGCTGCTTTTAAACATGTACCTGAGCACTGACGTTTAACAGACTACTCGATATAGCTTCATTTTCCGGATAAGTTATTTCGACGCCGTATTCAAAACCGACAGGCAAATAACCTGTCATAAAAAACCTAGAGAGAAAAGAACGCATCATGAGACCATAATGATATCTGATGATCAGTAAGCTATGTGGATGCGATGTGCAGATAAGATTGAAAATCGATTCTTCGTACCCGACTATCGCCATTGTAACAAATGCTACGTATTCATGAAGATGTACTGTTGATGTAAATAATACCATCGATAAAAACGAAAGAAGATAAACAATAAATGTTACTGTTCTATTCGGAAAGAAATAGTCAAGAGTATTGCTACTCTTTTAGAGGAAATATTCGAAATTACTTGTAAGCTTTGGATTTATCTAAAACATAACCGCCAACCAGACTTCCAAAAATGCCACCAACAATCATAAGCGTGCCAATCGTACCAGCATATTTACTAGCATGGTCAGTTTTCTTGAATTAATTGAGAAAGTGAAATGTTCAGCTAGATATTTCCCTAATTTAATTCGGCTTTCTTACTTCGAAGTAATACATATACACTGGATTCAACAATGTTGAAATCGAGTAAAAAGCACCAGTATTCAGACCTAACGGAATGGTAAAATGTTGTTTTTTACTACTCTTGTCAGGAAATCAATGTCTACCATAAGAGATCAACAATAGAAGAAACCATCGATTGACTAGCAAACGTTTCAGTGTTTGCAAATAGTTCTGTTCAGATGTTTGAAGAGCCATTTCCTGAGCTCGCGATGGCGGTGTCGGAGGACGAGGACGAAAAACTTGAGAAATACAAAGAGTCGAATTACATTAACAAAGAAGGATAGATTATCTTGTTCACATACCAATAATCATACTAATGAAACAAACCAAGCAAACAAATGCAACCCCATAGTAAAGTAATCTTAAACGTTCACCAATTAAACCAATATCCTCTACGTCGGGCACTAAAATCGTCGGAATAAGAAAACCGAGCGCAATTCCAACCTAAAATCAATACGCAAATTCATGAATAATTCAACATTCGACTATACTTGATTTCCAAAAACAGCTATAGCTGTCACCGTTGATACGCTATCGCTACTGAACCAAGTAGCTGCTAGATATGGTGGAATACCTAGAAGATTACAAATGAATATTCATAGTTTCATTTAACGATGTCATTTACCTAATGTAAACGACTGTGCACACGCACAAATCATCTGTCCTGTAAATGTAATCCACCAGAGATTTGTATCAACACTAAAGCATTTTACAATGGCGCCGACGCAATTAAGAAAAGCGCCTGTTGAACATGTTATTTTCAATCCATAACGGTCCAGTAACCACATGGCTGGAAACATTAATGGAATATAAGTAACCTATTTTAAATATTAATAATATGTTTTTATGCTTAGTCAAACAAGATTTGAAATGTATTTAGATTAAGTTACCATATAACTAAGACTAGTCCAAGTAACTGCATTGTTTTTGGCCTCGGCATCTCCAGGTAAACTTTCATTATAATATCGAACGATGATATTCTGTATGATCACGTATTCGATCCATTGAAAACCACTTGCCAGCGAACATATGCAAAAAATAGCTAGAATAGCGAAACGGCGTGGATAAACTTTGTATGTTCTTGTTGTCGTTGCTGATGATACGATGGATTGATTGTTGGATTCGATATTACTTTGTTCATCATTTGAAACTATGCACGTCATAAACGAAAACTCGAGTGATTATTATTTTCTTTTCCTTTTGTCGTTGTCGCTCGTCTTTTATTATCGTCATCATCTCTCTTCTTTGATCTCTTCTTATCAGTTTAAATATTAAAAAAAAAAAACTTCTTAACCTTCAACTCACTTGATGGACACGAAAGATAATCCTTCTCTCTTGTAGTTGCCATTAAGAAACCTTGGCAATAAATGTTTTTTCGAAGATAAATGGTAATTTCTTCTCCTTATTCGTGTTGAATACCATTGTTCTTACCCTACACGCACATATTGACGTTTGTGTAGATGCTCTTTTAACGAGAAAACAACACATTCTACTCTACTCTAGTCGACGAAATAACGTTGCCGGTAGAAGAAGAAAGAGAACGGAGAGAAACCGAGATGAAAATGATAATAATTGCATATGTTACTTGCACACACGCACACGCACATATGTCGAGATCTGAATAGTTTACAAAACCAATCAGCACATACAGACTAAGTAGACAAGGAAGTAGATGCCGTTAGTTGATTGGAATATGGTTTTTGCGGGAGAAAACGTTTTTCATATAATTACTGATGAAAGATGCAACTGTTGAAAAGTCAAGGAAGAAGAATTCGCCATAGAAGTCAACGGGAATTGGTTTTGCTATAAGATGATATGCAAAGATTTTGAAATGAAACTCTGTTTTCAGTGTAAAATTGCATTCTGAAATTCGATGTGCATGCTTAAGACACACCCACAACTATTTTCATTTCTTTGTGAAAGGAACATTTAAACTTTTTCCATTGTGTTTGATCTACTTTTGATGATCACGAAGTTAATGAACTGTGCAGTTGAATCGATGCAGACATTTTCGTTGAATGGGACCTTCTATTCTACGTCCTGCAATTGACTTTTTTGTATGTTCAAGACAGTGCGCGCCACATACATCCTCGCTGACCGAATGGACGGTAGCGCCGAAGAGTAAACTTGTCCGATCGGTCGGTCAGTCAGTGAGAAAGAGATAGAGAACATTTAGAGTGTTGTTGTTGTTGTTATAGGATATGAATACGATTTCGATAGTTACACGCGATACCAATGAATTTTTAAAACATCCGTTAGTACTCTGGGCGGAAAATTTTCTTAAAACTGAAACAAAATTATCCTACGAACAATTGATTAACAGTTCATGCTTTCATGCGATCATTCGTTCGATGTAAGTAGTAGAAGTTCGACCGTAGAAGAAATGTTTATTTTTCTTATCAACTAGTGATCCTCGACTGCAAAATTCGCGTTTACCAAATGAAGCAGCAGATACGAGTAGTCGATTAGTAAATTTAGATTTTATTCTACGAAGTGTTCGATCATTCGTACAGGTAAGTGATTCTTTTCTTCTGGCTCTGCTTTCAATATGCTTTGCTTGATGTCAAGGATGTGCTTCGCTATACCATTGTGGCTAAACTGCCTAATATCTACACTATTGCTCACGAACCATATGCAGGTTGGTTGGTTGTTTTTTTTGCGCTGCGATGGAATGAATTTAATGCCAACAAGATCAGCTTTTAAAAGGCTTCATTTTTTTATGATTATTTCGTACAGATGAAACTTCTTTCTCATAAAATATGTCAAAACTACAAAGAGGATAGATTAATCATGTTATCTCGAAACTTGAATAGAACAGAATATTTTCAAAACCAATTACATGCAATGCGAGCTTATTCTCTCAATATTTGATCTTATCGATAAAAGATTACTACCCTCGAGGGCTCACTCTCAGTTAACCAAGCTTCTTGCACGCGATTGTTCAACTAGAACTAACTAGGAGGATCGAATATGAGTGTCTTGTAGATGTAAATGAGTACTGGTTGGAGTTAATGAAATCTATTTCGTTTAGAATATTCGTTCGATGAGCTTGAACGAATTCTTTTATTATTATTTGCGTGTTCGGTATCGGGTGGTGATCAAAAAGATGTCCATATCCAACATTTAACAACGTTGGACGAATCGGTTCAACAGTCACTTATGCCGCATATCGAAGAATTAACAAACGAAATTAATACGATTGTTCAACCGCAAGACTATTTCTTTACTGATGATTTCAATACAGATAATGATAAACGTCTCAAGTGTTTATTTACAAATCTGTTGAATTTAATCAACGAACGTGATCACTATTTCGAAGAGATTCTTGAATTAGAACAAGATAAAGCGACATTAAAACAAAAACTTGAGTTATATCAATCCAGTTCGTCAAATTTACTTAGCACAGGCGGGGCCAACAGCGGTGGCAGTGGAACCAACCTTCATCCAACGTTAAGTCAAACATCACTGAACACGTTTTTGAATGATTTAGAAACGAAAAATCCCGGTATTGAAATCACCGATTACAAAACGAAGATGCGGCAAATGAAATCGGAATTGTACGTTTTCTTTCGTTTGTGCTTTAGTGTCTAGTGCAAATTGAACCTATTCTAGAGATGACAAGATGGATACGATTGAAACGTTGAGGGAAGAATTGGATTCATTACAAGCTGAATTCAATCGTATTAGAAATGAAAATTTGGAGTTGCATCAAAATGCTCGTTTGGCACGAATGTATCGAGATGAAATCGATTCGTTGAATTATAAACTGCGTGACAAGGAAAAACATGAACAAGAATTGGAAAAATCGAATAAACGTTTTCACGAAATGGATGCATTGAAGAATCGAATAGATGAACTACAAAACGAAAGTAAGATTCAACAATATTCATTCTCATCTATTCACAATTATTCTTTGTTAGATCAAATTCTTTCACAAGCTCAGCTTCATCAAGAACAACAAATCAAAGGTAATCACGCTCATCATTCATCTGTATGTTTTCCACAAAAAAAAACAAACATTTCTTTTAAGAATATCGATTGCGTATAAATAAAATGCTACAAAATGAATCGGAAGTGATGAGATTCAAGCATGACATCGAAACCATCACCAATGAACGTGATCAAATTCAAGAGAAACTCTCTCATCTACTCGAAGATAAAGTTCGTCTTGAACTAGATTTAAACTCGAGTACACATACCGTCGATTCATTGAACGATGAACTTCGGCAAGTGAAGTCGCGTTATGGATGTGAAGAATCTCGTACATCGTTAATCTCATCTCAAATTCAGCAAACGATTAAAAACCGTCTTTTAAAATACGACATGGAAAACAAGCAACTAAATGACGAGTTAATCGCTCTGAAAGAACGATATGAAATCGACATGCATCGAAAACGTATCGATGAAGAAAAACAAATGATTCATATTCAACTATTGAATGAGCAAATCAATGAATATTTGAACAATCTTCAATGTTTAGAAATGAAAAACGATCAATTGGCCAAAGAAAAGTTAACACTACAAAATCAAATTCAAGATCACAAAATCCAGCATGAAAAAACACGATCAGAGTACGATGCGCAAAACAAGCACTTGCAATTCAAATTGAATGCAATACAACAACGAGAACAAATGGAAACGACCGCTAAATTCGAAGATATCCAACAGGAAAATAAACGCTTACAAGATCGAATCGGTGACATGATGCAGCAAATCAGTCAACTGCAGGTAAAACCTCCTTTCCTACCACTTTGAAAGCGTTGCATCTGTACTTTGTTCGTGTCTAGATTGAACATGATCATTTAACTATAGTTAAAGAGCGTGAATGTGCATTGAATGAACGTATTATAAATCTTCAATTGAAATACGACCAGTTAGCACGTGAGCATCTGACAATGGAAAAGCGCTGTGAGATGTACGAGAAGAATTTGAAGCATTACGAAACTCTCGAACATGATTATTTGGAATTGAAGCATACGAATGAATGTTATCTTCGACAAATCGAGCATGTGAAGACGGTGGAGAAAGAATTGATTGATAAACAACTGCAAAATGAACAAATGGAAAGGGAAACTATCGATTTGAGGAAACAAATGAAACTTTTGAATGAATATCGTTTGAATGAAGAAGAAAACACTCGGAAATTACAAAACGAATATATGCTGTTGAAACAACGTTACAATGAAGAAGAATATGCTGAGTTAACCAAGAAGTTAACTGATGCGTGTGATTTAACGCGACAAATACAGATCAAATTGAAGAAGAAGCAAGATGAAACGGAAAACTTAAAGAAAACAATAGCACAAAATGAGATCTCAATCGAAAAATTGAAGAACGATGTCAAACAAGAAGTTCAACTACGCGAAGAATTACAAGCAAAATTGTTCAGCGAAATTTCACAAGAGATCATTGATAATGACGAGAAAAGGTTGGTAATGAAAGTCATTTCAATCGCATTTCTCGAATCACGTTCGTCTTCTCTTTAGAAAAAACGAACAAGTCGCCGAAATGCAACAACGTTTAGTAAGTCACTCTGCTTTCTATCTAGATTCTCTCCAAATCATCTCATTCTTCAAGGACCTCGCATTAAAATCCGATAAAATTCATGTATCAATTCAACGTTCGTTGAAAGAAACCATCGAAACTCTCAATCACCATATCCAAGATCTACAAGCTGATAAATCCCGTTTGCAATCCGATCTTCAACAAGCAACCATACGCATCGAAACTTTACAGAGCGAAAATCTCAAACAACATCAATATAACGAACAAATCGAAAACGATCGCACGATGGCATTGAACTCCTGTCAACATTTCCAACAAACAAACGAACAATTAATCAATGATCATGATCAATTACAAAAACTGTACACTAAACTGGAACATGAATTCGATACAACGATCAATCAGCTAACTGATCAGCGGACAGCGAATCGGATGCTAACAAAGGAATGTAAATATTTACAAATTGAATTGGATACCATTGTGAAAGAGAAGCAAAATTTATTGAATCGGGTCAGTTACCTGCTGAAACAAATCCATCAGTATGAAACGAAATTAGCGGAACAAAAACCATTTGATGAACAGTATTTATTCTTGGAAAAACAATATCAATTACGAACAGATGATTTGCAAGATGCAATCAATCATAATCAGAATCTGAAACAGCAAGTAGACGAAATGAAATTGGAATTGAGTAAATCAAGAAGTGAATTAGCGAATATACAACTGAAATACACGAATATCAATGCTGAATACGCAAATTTAATAACAAAATATGAAGTTTGTAGTCGAGAGAGAAGTTAACTGAAAAAAGGTTTTATTTTGCAAATCATTCTTTAGTTTCTGGAACAACAAACCGAACGAACGGAAGAAGAGAAAAGTCAATTGATTGAACAACTCCATAGTCTTGTACAACAAAATCAAAATGTTTTGGCACAAGCATTGAGTAACAAGGATCTTTTTCACGAAGAAGCACGAGGATACCTGTACGCATTTGACTTCGAAAGAGAAGAATGCCATTCTAAGAATTTGATTTTCTTCAGAGAACAACTTCATCAACTGATGCGACAAAAAGAATTATTAGAAATGAAAATAATGGAACAATACAAAAACATGCCAATACATAAACCGCGAAGGTAAGCGAATGAATATACGAAGAGTCGTGTAGTTGAAATTTCATGTCTGTAGAAGTTCGCGTGGTCTTATTCAATCAGTTTCGCGTAAAACTCGAAATATCCTTGATCGTTTGGCCAATCGTCGTACACGAACATCGTCCGCTGATGGTCAGCTCTATCACGGTGATGCGAACGAACGTGCAATAAGTCCGTGTTCGTCTCTGACGGATAATACGAACACACCGATGTCGCACGCTCGATCGACAAGTATGAAAAATTCGATTGCTTTCGTTCATTTCAGTCTATTCTCAAATCATTTAGCACCGGATGTGATATCATCAAGTTTAACATCTGCCCGGTATAACCATCCGTCGGGTTCGGAAACCTATAAAACTCAAAAAGGTAATAGATATGAGTTATGGAGGTCGTTTGAGTTTCGAATTCTCTTTGTAGATTCTGATCGTTTGCATCAATCGACTGACAGTTTAGCAGATACGTCATCGAAAGGTATTTTTCATCGGATTCGTTTGAATATCGCTCCATGTTTGTTATTCTAGAAGACGAAGAAGAAGCTCAAGAATCTTCAACGATTGAAGATACGAAAACATCAACGTAGGTTGAAACAAATATCGATGCTTGCGTTAGTATCCATGATTATTTTCTCTCTAGTCCAATGCGCGTTTCAATCCAATCCAAAGCACCAGAATTTGTATGTAGAACTATTTTCGTATTCATTCTTTTAGGAACTATTTGCAATCTTTTCAGATTCTTAACAACCATCGTCAATCACCATTTCGTCCAATTCGCGACTCTCCAGGTAATTGTTTCCCTCGATAAGCTCAATTTTCTAATTAAAAAAGCATCTACAAGTATGAGAGATCTATTCGGTCCTCCAATCTCACCCAATTGCTCTTTATCTCTTAGAATAGTTCATTTGAAATCTACATCTTGTCTGTGTATATTTTCTTAGGTTTACAACTTTCCTTCAACGATGGGGCGTCGTCTAGTTCGAATCAACGGCGATGTTCCTCTACTCAATCGTTTCTAATTCATCCAAGTCAGCATGTTAACAATGATATACACAGTTCGATCCGTCGTCATCGAATACGTTCATCGGCTGTCTCCTCTCCTCTCGTCTTGAAACAAGCACATCCATCCGATCAACAATCGATCCCCTACAACGATCAAGTGTTTATTACCGAATTTGGTGCCATTTAAAGGAAAGTCTCCGATGTAAATACATGTTTATTTTGCATAACTATTTCTATTTATGCGTTTGTTTTCTCATTTTTTTTATAAATTAATTTTGTCAGATGTAATTCTAATTAATGCAGTTAGATTTGTTTTGTATTATAATCAATATTATCATTTTCATAAAAATAGAGTAGTAGAATTTGTTGAATAAATTTGCAAATGGTTTTGCTTTCCAAAACGAAACTTCTTGCATTCACTCGCCGTTGATGGCAAGGTGTTAAATCATTGTTGCGAATCACATCGACATACTAAACACTTTCGTCTGTAGTTTCAATGTTTGTTTTGTTCAAATGAGTCGTGTACAAAGAGAAACATTGTTCTAGCGATTTATTTGATAAGACAAAAGAAAACAGATAAGAAATATAGCAATCATGGGTGTAAAGTAAATAGTGTTCAAAGGGAACAAAATGGAGAAATAATAAAACAAACTGTTTGCATAGAGATACGCTAATATAAATGAATAATTCAATTAATTTTGAGTAGTTTGTTTGGGTTTATTTGTTTTTCGTAATACATGTTTCTTTTTCACGCTCTTTGTCGTCGGATGAGCGTAGTTGTATTGGTAGGAAGGGTCTGGTTGGTACTGTTGTTCGTTGTATCTATGTTGCGCGCCAGATTCATATGCATATCTATGTAAATATTCAGAAATGAATCAATGAATCTATTCGCTTTTAATGAACAGTGCGGGGGAGGGGGAGGTTATGCATTAAGGTGCACACGAATAGTATCATGCTTGAATGAAGCTTACTCGCATCTTTCTCCCCAATACTGGTCTGAACAGATACAAACACTGATCTCATCGGTTATTTCACGGCATACTCCACTGTTTCGACAGGGTTGAGTATCTTTACATGACAAACCTAGTTTTTCCCAATTACAGAAGGATGTGTTTTTCTTTGAAGTTTCTATAGATGAGAGAAAGGAAAGCATGAACTTACTGTATTGACATCGTGAACCAGACCAGCCTGTCGAACAATAACATTGAATGTTTGTTCCATAACCTACTTGCTGACAGATGCCACGATTATTACACAGACTCGAAGAACATGTAGAAGATGAACCAGCTGGGATTGGTGTTGTTGTTGGTACTGCTGAAAATGGGGTGATCGCATTTGACACTCCTAAACGAACAGTATATGTGCAGTAGAGATTGCTTGATCATTGATCTGCGATATATACCTTGACAAGAGGGTCGTTGAAATTCACAACGAAGACCACAGTAAGGATATGGACACGAGCAAATGTAATCACCAAGTGGACGTTGTATACAGCGTCCACCGTTAGTACATTCTTCACCACCGTCCAAACAGTTCAGCACTACAATAGATTGTTTGATCACCAATTTCAATGAGTGAATTTCAGTTGGTAGCTTACATTTTTCACAACGGTTGCCTGAATATCCAGGCGGGCAGAAACATCGGAATCCAAGTTGTTCATATGGATCATTCTGACATGTGCCACAAATACATGGATTTCTTACTCCACAAATGTCGACTGCAATTGTCCAAAAATGAGTTAGATACTGACGTGTATGTCTACATTCTACTTAACTGACCTTGTTCACAAGTGGGCCCTTCGAAACCTGTGCGACATTGACATGTATACGAACCACCCGGTGCACTAACACACACACCACGATTTTGGCATGGCTGATTAGCACACCCATCTTGATCTTCGCATCGTTGGCCACTATATCCTGGAGGACATTGACACATAAAACCACCAAATCCATTGGGTGAGCATGTGGCACTATTCAGACACGGATTCGGTACACAGGCATCTCCTAAAAAACATATAGTTTCATCATAGCAATTACTATTCTCCGCGTATTTTTAAGCATTCTCTAAATGTGTTTGCAAGATTCTTACGTATTTCACATTGTCTGCCCGTAAATTCGGGTGGGCATAAACATTGATAACTACCATTGCCATTCACTGACTGGCATGTACCTCCGTTCATGCAAGGCGTACTTGCACATACATCGCGAGTTTCACACAGGCCGCCTGTGTAACCCGATGGGCATGCACAACGAAAGCCACCATTCTCTCTCACACAACTGCCTTGATTCATGCACGGTTGCGACAGGCAAGGGTCACCTAATAACCAGAGAACAATTCAGCACATGCAATCACTATTTACAGATTACTTACTGTCTTCACAACGTGCACCGCTATATCCTGACGGACATTGACACATGAACCCTCCAAATCCATTTGGGGAACACTGGCCCCCGTTTAAACACGGATTTTGCGCACATGGATCTCCTAGAAGAAAATCGCATAATTTTTCGCTCTCCCCATCGTCTTGCATAGACGCATTTTGAAATATTTAAAGGAAGAAGCGATGTGCATACTATTCTCGCAGCGGGATCCACTGAATCCAGTTGGGCACAAACATTGATAGCCACCATTACCATTCAGCGACTGACACGTGCCTCCGTTCATGCAGGGATTGCTTGCACATGCATCAAATACTTCACATCGACTGCCAGAATAGCTCGGAGGACACACACATCGAAAACCACCATTCTCTCTCACACAANCATTCGTGCAAGGATTGGGTGTACAAACAAGTTCTAATTACAAGCAAAGGAAACACACCCTCATGCAATATGGTAGTGTGTCTAGAAAACGTACGTTCACATTGATTGCCAAAATATCCGAGATTACATTGACAATAATAGCCACCATTACTTTGAATACATTGACCATTGCTGCCACATGGGTTGCTGAGACATGCATTCGCTAAAATAAACAACCGTATGGTCTTTCTATTTGATTATAGTCTTTTGTTTTTACCCTCTTCACATCGTTGACCTGTATAAGGTGGAATACAGACGCATGTAAAACCCCCTATAGTATTGGCGACACATCGGCCACCATTCAAGCAAGGGTTTTGTGCACATGGATCTCCTGATAGAAAAGATAATATTACATCCATATTCAACAAAAGCCTAGTGCGAGTTGGAAAGAATAAGCGATCGTATGTGCGTACTATTTTCACATTGGGAACCGTTATAGCCAGAAGGACATATGCATAAATAGCCACCATTGCCATTCAGTGTTTGGCACGTGCCTCCGTTCATGCAAGGACTGCTGGCACATGCATCAAATACTTCACATCGACTGCCAGAATAGTTCGGAGGACACACACATCGAAAACCACCATTCTCTCTCACACAACTGCCTTGATTCATGCACGGCTGAGACAAACATGGATCGCCTGCGAATAACGAAGTTCAAAGATGTACAATAGATTTATGAATAATGCAATATAGGTGTGCTTACTATCTTCACAACGTTGACCTGTATATCCTGGAGAACATTGACACATAAATCCTCCTAAACCATTCGGTATGCATGATGCACCGTTCAAGCAAGGATTGGGAATGCAAAGATCCTCTATCGAACACAAACAATGTTTAGTATGTACAAAAAGGCAGTAGACTTTAGATCTCGATCAATATCTATTCAAAATAAGACTTAACGTACTGATTTCGCAGCGGGATCCACTGAATCCAGTTGGACACAAACATTGATAGCCACCATTACCATTCATCGACTGACACGTGCCTCCGTTCATGCAGGGATTGCTTGCACATGCATCAAATACTTCACATCGACTGCCAGAATAGCTCGGAGGACACACACATCGAAAACCACCATTCTCTCTCACACAACTGCCTTGATTCATGCACGGCTGAGACAAGCATGGATCACCTACGAACATCAAAACAGTCATCATGCACTTTCTCTATCTGACCGTCTCTTACTATCTTCACATCGTTGACCGCTGTATCCAGGAGGGCACTGACAAGTGAACCCTCCGACACTGTTGGGAGTGCATGTTGCACCATTCAAGCAGGGATTGTCTGCACACGGATCACCTACATGCTCATTCGTGGATGAAAAAACGATTCCATTCTAACAGAGAAACATGCATGACTTACGTGTTGAACAGTCAACACCAGTATATCCGACTGGGCAGAGACATTGATAAGAATTGGTGTTGGATGGGTAGCAGGTGGCACCATTTCGACAAGGTTGATTGGCACAAGGGTCAATGCCTGGTGAAGGTGTGACTAATGAGTTAGGAAAGAAAGGAAACACTTACGATCTTCACAACGTTGTCCGGTAAATGGTTGGATACAACTACATGTGAAACCTCCAATACTATTAGACTGGCATTGACCGTTGTTTACACATGGATTTTGTGCACACGGATCACCTGTTCAGATACGAATGGGTGGTGAACACTTTTGGAAGAACAATACTTACGGATCTCACAACGTTGTCCAGAAAATCCAGCACCGCACGAACATGTAAAGACAGAGCCACTTGATGAACATATGCCATTGTTTTGGCATGGATGAGGGTTGCAAGGATCTGAACCTAGATCAACACATGAATAACGCATCACGTTCAGCATATCGGTGCATGAAAAAAATTATACTACTCACGAATTTCGCAATGGATGCCTTCGAAGCCAGCGGGACACGTGCATGTGAAGCCTCCAGCACTATTTGCTTGACAGGTGGCACCATGCTGACAAATGTTTGGCAAGCAGGGATTAGGGGGAATGAGTGTAGTAGCAGCAATCTCTAGAAGCGTGTTCATGCTCGATCTAACTGTTCACGCAGGAAGCTCTGGGAGAAAAGAACTTACGGATATCACAACTGCGACCAGTATATCCAGGTGGACAGTAACATCGGAAAGATCCAGTCGGCTCATCAAAGATACAGGAACCTCCATTTTGACATGGATTTGGTACGCAAGCATCACCTAATGGAACAGACATTAGATTGAATGAAGACAGAAAATCGTTTTGAACTTTGCTCATGCGTTAGACAATCACTTACATATCTGACAAGTAAGTCCTTGAAAGCCAGGACGACATTGACAAGTGAAACTCAGTAAGCTTGACATTTGACACGTGCCACCATTCATGCAGGGATTTGGTATACATATATCTCCTAGTTGCATAGAAGATGATCAAAAATACATACACACACATACACATAATTGTATACATGCAAAAATAGTTCACAGAAAGAAAAAGAACACCTCATTTCAATAATGTCAATCTTTCTTACGACGTTGGCAATACGGTATATTACAAACACAAACAGCTCTGCGTTGATGATTAACCACACATCTCTGACCCGTTGAACACGGATTTGCTGAACAAGGGTTCGCTGACATATAGTAAAGTATCGAAATAGAAAATAACAATCATCTCCTATTATTGTTAAACTAACGTCGTTCACATAAAGGTCCAATGTAGCTCCTTTGGCACAGACAGAAGAAGCTATACGATGTTATCGAATAGCATGTCTGGCCGTGTTGACATGGATTCGGATTACAAGCAACGTATGGTTGCGGAGCTCGATCTAAATTTGATGACGTATTTAACTTTTTCACTTCTCGCCTTCTCATTTGACGTTAGCATACTGCAACTACTACTGCTAGGAGACGAACGGCTTGGTGGACCGCACGTACAACTCGCTGGTGTCAAACCCGAGCTTGTTTGACGATAGGTGCATGTTCGACGTTCGCATCGATAGGAACATGATGATGAATAAGTTGCCGTCGCGTAACTCTGCCGACGGAATCCTTCAAGTTTTCAAATAAGAACTTTCAGTAAAAATATAAACAAAGACACAACACTCTTCTCATGCATCTTACGTTCAAGAAAAGTTTCGTTTAGTGTTCCTATCACAGATAGAAGAGTTGACAAACAAAGATTTTTATGGGCGAAATATTAGTTTGCCTTCAAATTTGATCCTCTTCTGACATGAACTTACTTGTTTCACAATTAACACCACTGTAACCATACGGACATTCACAAATATAAGATCCAAGTCCCATGATACATCGACCACCATTCTTACAGGAACAACTCACACTGAAAGCTACAAAATAAGAACAATAAGATATTACAGAACTCGATGAAAGATAGCAGCAATATTCACCGTAAGTACAATCAGCCTGCCACGGTGGACATATACAACTGAATCCTTCTTTCGTATCGAGACATACAGTACCACTTGGACATGGACTACTCGAACAATCATCATACCCTAAATGTCAAAAATAGTCAGACTCGAATTTGTCATGCAAATAACTAAAAAAAACATACCTCGAATTGAGTTGAAATCACCGGAATTACATAAATCAGTTGAACACATACACCAGTAAAGATTGTTATATGTAAGACAACCGTCGACAAGTAATTCGCGTACCCATCGTTCATCAGTACAACGACGATCCGTTACTTTTCATAGACAAGAGAAAAACAGACAATCAATTAGAAAATACGAAGCCGTGTGAACAGAACAAAGTAAGCAGAAAGCAACTTGACTTTGATAAGCTTACGCGTAGCATTGGCATGTTTGGCTTTCAAATAACAACGCTGATTATAGTGACAAGGCACGATGCATCGCTTAGCAGCACCCGCGTGTGGAAAAGTGGTACATGCAAAACATCGTTTATCTTCTTCTAGAATGGCTATAGCCGATCGACCATGCAACGGTACTGATGACGGTGGCGATGATGAAGCGTCTAGAATATAAGCATGCGACTAAAGCAAACTCTTCGAACCTCGATTAAACGGTGTTGGTCCACGTATGAAACAACGTTGAGGACTCGAGCACGGTACTGTACAGTCTGCTGACGGTACGAGACACCCAAAACATCGGCTTGCTAGACTTTGAGTGATAATAGGTGTAAAAAAATGTACTATAAGAATAACAGAGGTGACATATTCTTATCGTTTTATTCGAATGAGAAGATCTGAACATTTTTTTTTGTCATTAGTATCAAGCGAGAAAACGATGGATTGACAAACCTGGAATATAACGTGATCCAATTGTAAAATTTGTCGGATTAGCAACAGTCAGTGAGATGAAATATAGACATAAGAACGTCAACCACTGAACAACCTAGAGGAAAATTTCAACAAATGAAATCATTGAACAAAGCTTACTTACCATAATGCTGTTTAACTTTCAAAAATATTCTCAAGAGTGAAAGAATTTCATAAATTCGCGTTTATATCTTTCTATTTTATATCCTTCACTTAGTGCTCTATATTTGCTAGAGACTGCTATTTACTAGTTCGTCTATAAAACTTCTGTTTGATACAAAGTTGAAGGTATATCCCTTATGTTTCGTCTTTTTTTCCTCTTCTGTTCATACAAACATACAATATGATGATAATACAAGCCTTGAATAATACGTAATTGTCTACAATAAAATACTACGTAATATAATCATGACATCTGTTTGTCTTCTTCTTTTCGTTCGTTTTTCTTCCTTTTGTGTGATAATTTCAATTTTCTAAAGGACAATCTGAGGGATGTCGGATTACTTAAAGTATATGACCGCTTATACGTTAGGTTAATGACAAAAAGAAAGAAAATAGATGTCGAAACTATTTGTGATTAGATTAAAGCAATCAAAAGAAAAACGAACTCGAAAAGAAGACAATGTTCACTTCGATATCCTTCAACTTCAGCTTATGTTAACAATATGTAACTGTGTAACGAGACTTACCATACTTAATTGAACCAATAACAATGAGAATTAAATATCTGGTAATTTACGCGAAATGTGATCAATGACGTGTATATATATATATAGTATGCGAAAGCGTCACAGTACTATTTGTTTTATATTTGGCGTTTCACGTAATGTCGTCTGTCGAGTTGAGTAATAAGCGCGAAGGCGGACTAACACATGATCATGATCTCACTTTCTCTTGTCCTGTTGTCTTGCATAAAACGAAGGAATTAGTGTATATATGCTGATATCTCACTAGCACCCGACAGTCGCGATCAAAGGTAACCAGTAATGACGACTGTAATAGATAGATCGAATAGGACACAATGAATGTGGACAGATTACTGAACAAAATGAAGAATATGCCCTTCTATATATAGTTATCAAGAGTGGGATTATGATATATACAAAGAGAAGGAAAAAAGGCGAAATCATGTTCTCACGTAATTTCATTCTTCAATCAGTTCGCTTCAACTCAAATTTCGCTTCAAGGCCTTGAAAATGTTCATTTATTTAACATTATGTAATGCAGATCATCATCAAGGAACATTAGAATATACGATTAGGTTCACTTTCAAAGACTTACACTTTTCATATTGTTAACGTAGAATAACCGACAAGGTCGCTATTCGTCTTGTATAAAGCCAAATGCCTTTTTTTTATCTCACAATGTATCGTCGAGTAGGTGTACGAATTAAAACCTTTCTTCAAGAGAGTGCTGTCATCGGCGTAATTAAGTTATGTTTGTTTTTTTGGGTTAAAGGTCCGTTAACTGACAATGTATTTTTAGATATAATCGACACAATCTAATTCCTAATGTCAATCATTGATATTGCTGTTGCCGCTGTGCAGAAAAACAACACGCACAGATACTAAGTTGTTTGTTTTGATACTGTCTAATATCTTCTTTTCGAACGGTTGGGAAACTCTTTTGATTGATGTCTCTCGAACGATGATGAGAAGAAAACTTCTTTTCATTAGTTGTGCTAAAATGAATTTTCAACAACTCACGCCAACCTACCACGAGAGCATTCTTTTCCAGAATAACTCTTCAGAACACAGTATCTTTTCAAGTTTCTGAAATTAATTGCTAATAAATAGTCTTCCACAAATGGTACATTACCAGCCGGTCTGCTGTAAATGCAAGTTAACAGAAAAAGTACCTCAGAACCGAGATCTTTCATATAATTATTTTCTCTTGTAATTCACGTACAATTTATTATAATTATCTATATTTATTGCAGCTGTAATTTGTTTCTACGTTGATGCTTCCAGATCATCAAGTCTGTCCAAGACGAGGAAGACTACGGTTGCTCTCTCGTTGTGTTTTCTCCTGCCGAATTATGTAGATCATATTTTATTACCAAATATGAGATATCCTTTTCACTCGGTAATAAATCCAGTGCATGTTATTTTGTTTAGGGGAAAAATTAAGAAAACAAAAAAATAAAGTATAATAAACAAAAAAAAATTGAAACTAATGGTATTTGTCTGATGAGCANAGCAGCCGTCAATGCTATCTCTGTACAGATACTAAACGATGAGTTGGTATCGATAAAAGTCATTAATTTAATTCCACGTCGTTCGCCTATTTTATGTACAAAAGCACGTAAACTCTGTGTTATTGTACGCCATGGATTAGCATAAGGAGTGATTGTATTTGAACTTCGTTTTAAGTCCATAGCTTTCGATAATAACTCTAGGGATTGATCACCGCATAATAAATAGACCTAGAACGACGAATTTTAAGACGAGTTCAACAAGAACTGGCGTTTTCCTACATTACGAGGTAATTGATTGTTGAATTTGGATACATTGAAGAGAAATGTTCGTGGATCAACATTGTTTGGTAAACCAACGGATGTGTAGATATCTAAATAACCTGATATTGTTCGTGGTATACGTTGTTGACCGTCAAGAATCATTGGATCTTTCTTGAGCGAACCAATTTGTGAGACATAATCATGGCCATCTTCGTCATCGCCTAAATCATCAAAATATGCCGATCAAGAGTCCACTCTTTTCTGAAACTTACCAAGAAATGCGTGACTAAGATCAGCTTGTGGACACATATCAACAACAAGAACGGTTTTGTCTGGATTTCGATATGCATATTTGATAGCTAAATGGTAAGTTAAATTTGTTTTGCCTGAACCGCCACGATTATTCCATACTGCATAGCTTCCTTCCAATGGCATTTTCTAAATGAACATAAAGCAAGAATATAACGACACAGTTAATTTATGCAAATCAGTATTTTTTTCATGAAAGATCACACACGCATAAACATATCCAACACTAAGGATTCGAAAAAAAAAATCGGAGAATAAAAAGCAAATAGCAGAGCTCACAGCAGACTTCTACTCATTCTCCTTTTTCTTCTTATTCCTTTTTTTTCTTACATTTTTTTTTCTGTATAGGTCGTTAAACAATCTTTTTATTGCAAGAGGTTGCTTGTCATACAATGTATGCATCGATGTCTATCATGTCATCACGCGGCATAGATGAAATGACAAACACTCCGATGGATAGATGGCTTGTTAATCTGCGTTAACGTCATCATTCTCACATAAAGGACTATTATCACAATAATTTCTACTACTGTTACTTTATTACTCGAGCTAAATCAGATATTGAATCAATAAATAGAGAGATTAATCAACTAACAAGAGAAGCGCAAACCTTTCCCGTTGGGGACGTCATATTCACATTGACGACTGAAGACGTTGCTTTTGGTAAAACTGTGCTTGTCATCATGCTTGAAAAAAGAGCTAGTTCATAGTGAACATAGAAGAAAAGCCTGATGATCGTATGGTTGCCAATTTGTCGTCACTCGTTATAAGTTTAGCGTTGAAGACGACAAGTAGCAGAAGCAGTTGCGTTAATTAACTATTTGTACAGCCACACACAATCGACACTGTGCACAGCATCGATGGTGATATAGAGAAAAGCCTGGCACTCTGTTTTCCATTTTGCCCTTCGACGATCGTAAAAAAACTAACCGACGACGACGACGACGACGACGATGTTTCTATCGGTTAGCAAACAGAAACAAGAGAGAGAGAGAGAAAGAACAGAGAGACTAGAGGAAAAAACTGAAGAAGAAAAGGAAGAAGAAAAGAATCGACCAACGCGGTCGATTGTCTTTCATTACGTTCTCTAGATTCTTTCTATACTTTGTTCTGTCATCGCTAACAACAACAAACTAGGAAAACCTAGAACTAGTCCTGTTCTTTTAATAACGTTCCTTCGTCCTTTCAGCATATTTATATGTGCATAATATGTGTCTTTGTATGTTGCACATATCTGTTCTAAATTTGCATGTAATATCTTTAACAGATATGAGAGGTTTTTCATAGGTTTTTCTTCTTGTTTTTCTTTGTCTTCATTTGAAGTCTCGAAGAATTATCATTTCTGATGCGTGGATTTGCTTTCTTATCTTCGATTAACGAGTTCGACATGTGAAGGAATAGAAATATGTTCTATTCTTCTTCGTCTCCCATCCGATTTCCTACTTCATCTTTCCATTTCAAACATGACGAGACGCATACCAAAAAAAAAGAAACAGAAGGGAACAAAAAAGAAAAAAACTGAGATGACGAAGCAGAAAAGAAGAAGAAGAAAGAAAAGATACCCTTAGTTGATTGTGCTTCGCCTTTTTTTTATACACATGAATTCATTTGATTGAAAGTACACTTCAAATCATGATTACTACTTGGTTCATTTGTTCGGCTTCATTCGAATCATTAAACAAAAAGCAGCAATCAACGGGAAAAACTACTAGATTTAAACAACTCGATTTTCATCAATCAAATTTTCTTTTCTAATTACAATAAGAAAATGAGAAAAGAATATGATCGCTAGCAAGAGTATGCTCATCAATTCAAGTTTTGCATTTGAAACATGTGACAAACTCAAGGTATTCAGAAGTATGTCTACAGCAAAAAGTAATATCTATATGCACGCAAGTTTATAATATATATATATTGTTTCTCTACATTTCTTTTCCCTTTTTTACTTTATATAATTGACATGTAAACATACTTGTAATAAAAGTAGTTTTCTGAAAGGGAGAAGGCGAAAAGAAGATGAAAGAGAAGGAGAAGAAAGCTTCTCATGTTCTTGAACAACTGGCGTTCATGAACGATTTCAATGTCTCGGGTTTTCTTCTCCTACTTCTTCTCATTTCTAGTTATGATCATCTTCATCGTCATCATCTATGACAAATAATTTAATTAACTGTTTTCATCAATCTGATGTGCAAGAAATAGAACGAGATGTATATATTCATTTCTAGTATACACACATGTCTTGAATGACAAAACTTGTTAGTTCAGATAATCTGAAAGTGGAACGACTAAAACTGATGAGCTAAGCGCACGAGATCTATGTATATAGAATATTCCTAACAGTTTCTATATTCTTATATTCATTAGAAATGCAAATGACGGAAAAACTAAAATAGCCGAGTGTTTAGGAAACTAGTGTTGGATAGGAATACATGCAACATAAGCTGTAGAAAACTGAACGATTAAAATTAATGACAACATGAAAAGGAGTATGATTCGGATCAATTATGTGTACAATGTATAACGTGAGAGATGTTGTATCGCGCATTTATATAACGAAAAAGAGAGATGTAGAGAGAGCAGACGCCGAGAATAGAGAACAAATTGTGCTACCAACCATACACTTGCTTTTTAATTAGATCTGATGTCGGACAGATGGGAAACCGCAATAGTCTGAGAAGAAAACGAGTGCAGTTTCGGGACATAGAATATTTTTTTAAATCTAATTGCATTGACTGCATACTTCGATGCGCCTTGCGGAAAAACGTTTGCAGCTAGATGTTTCTTGTCTTTTATTGTATGTAAAAGTTTTAAGTAAACAATGTGACTTGTTACTGATGTTGCATACCTGTTGATGGAAATATTTTTTGTTGTCGCCAACGTATCATGTATTGTATGTATTGATTAGTGAATAGATGTCCGCTTCGTCAATTATTGCTAATACGACGACAACGAGCCATTAGAGATAATTGATACAAAAACCACGTCCAGATTTCCGCCTGCGTTGCAGATCTCGCTTGTCCGTCAATCGTATAGTAAAAATCATCTCCAAAAGACAGAAACATAGTCTAGACCATCATCACTTCGAACCGAATCTTGCACTGAGCGATCTATTCACGTGCATTTCTTCTCATTTTTCCACTCGCGTTCGCTATTGAACAAATAGTACGATATGATGATGGAGTGACAAAAGCGATAAATATCATGCAATAATGACAACATGAAAAATAAAGAAGATGAAAAAGGGCAACAAGAAAGAAGAACATTCAAGACTAGAAGCAACATTGCCAGCGGTATTTTCCCTCTCTTTCACATTTCCTACTGTTTGCATCGACAACGACAGCAGTCGTAGCCGCAGTATAAGGAATAGTAACAGAAACGAGCAGATCGGATCTCGCTTTCGCTTTCTCTCCCTCTCTCCCTCTCTCTTGTGTCTCTTTCTCGTCTCGTCTCGTCTCTTTCCCTAATTCACATCACGCACACGCATACACTCACATACACACATCGAAGATTGTAACGCAGCCTGGTTGTTTGGTTGGATGGCTCTTGTATATATGATCGAATAAAATAGTGTACTCTGCCGACGATGTTGTAGAGACAAAGAAGCACGGCTTGCGCAAAAGAAACGAGAAGACGAAGAGGAATAATAAAAATAAGAAGTAGTCGCAGTAACGAAAGAGGACGACAATCGTTGACAGAACGCTCAAATCCGCAGAGATAGAGATTTAAAAGACGGTGTATATGCATGCTTGCGCTAGTATATATCTCCTCTCGAACTGCCTAATAAGAACATGAAAGGAAAAAAGCGATCCATAAATTTTCGCAATAAAATTTATAAGACTCAGTGGAAGGTGGCGACAAAATAAAATTGATGTTGATGATACTAATATATCTCTTTCCGAAAGATGTATCATACGTCGTTTGATAGAGCGATATGCTCTTTTTCTTACTATGTTTACACTGCTTATCTATCTCACACATTTCCTGTCTTCTGTTGTCTTATGCCTTGATGCGTATTCTTTACAATAATAACTACGACTGCTGCTGCTACTAGCTCTTATTCTTATGCTTATTTGATCGCATCATTTCTACTCTACCACATTCGTTTTCTCTTCTCTCTCCTTCTACTTCGACCATTTAGCACGATTATAAACTGATTTGGTGAATCAATCAATATTATATATAGATATATCGATAAATATGTATGTCTCGCATATATTTATATAAGTGTGTGGAAAAAGAATTTATCTGTATATATGTGCACAAAAAAAATAAAAAAAACAAGTCTCATATAGAATTCTTGCTGTCACGTCAAAAAAAAAGGAGAGAGAGAGAGAAGTACGAACACATCTTAGATAGATAAAATATGCACGTCATCGTTCTCATCGTTGCATCTTGAAAAGAACACATCAGTTACATGCGGAACGGCTACAAACTACTAAGAGGATTGTATATATATATATATATATATATATAAAGAGATAGATAGATAGATATGTGTTAAGAGTTGCGATAGAAAAGAGCAAAAAACGGGACAGAAACAATAACTCGATATGCATAAATCAGGCTAGAATAACAACCGAACAGGTCCACACATGAAATAGACAGACAGAAAGACGAGCTTCGGTTACCACATTTGCACACAACACCGAACGCTTAGAAGCGTTTAGAGTGCGACTATGTTTGCATGTGTGCACTCTCTTTGAAACCTCTCGATAGAACCATCAATCAGTGAACATCCGTGTTATTGGCATTATCAAAAATAAGAGAGATTGTCGCAGACGTAGAAAGATAATAGGAATGAGAAATGTTGTCGACAAAACATCTCTGACTGGATGATGAGCGTATATAAGTACCGATAAAACAATACACAATTTCAAACAGCGGAATAGATTATGAAAGAGAAGAACTGACAATCCTGTATAGCGCTAGCTAATATTACGCGGAAGTGAATCTTTTCCTGTAATCTATAGCCTTGCATATCGATGAAATGCCAATGCAAAACCGAGTTCAATTTTACTGTAAATAATGTCTTGCTCGACGTCAGCTTATATGCATGTATGTCAGTGATTTGTCCTATTTCTAAGCTTATTAATTGCAAGAAAAACGGATTCAGCAATGCACGACAATGATGCTAGTAATAGTGGTAGTCGTTTCCGACTTATCGTTAATAACGCAATTATGGCCTTAAAAAACCCGACTTTTATTTCATCATTGGGCACGTTCATCATCTCATTTATATTACACGTCGAGCGAATGACATTTTAGACATAGCACGATATAATTCTAAAAGAAAAACTCGGCTTCGATTAGCAAAAAGACGAACGATCGATGATGGCGGATTGATATTTATTTTCTCTGACATCATTTATAGAAAATCGATTTTTCATTGTCTGTTGATTTATGACTGATTAGTTAGATATGTGTATGTAAATCTTCCATTGGGTGCTGAATCTCCTTTATCAATAAAATGAAGTGGATTAATTGTATATAACATATCAGCTGAGAACCATTTGAATTGTAAGTAGATTTCTGTTTGATTGATTTGAAGGGACTGACGTGAAAGAGAAAAGTGCAATTCATTGTTATTGTTATTGACAATATCGACAATTTGCTGGTTTTGCCAATGATCTGTATTATTGACATTTTTCTTCAATTGACTTTCACCTAAATCAACTAAATAATCGAAACCGACCCAACCTGTTGAATAGTTATTGTCCGTGTTGAGAAACAACCAAGTAAAATTATTCCCGTCGACGAATCGTCCATTGGTACGTAGATGAAAGTAGAGAGAGCGATTATCACGTGCGATTTGCATAGTAGCCAGATCGTTGCGTTGACTACGATCAATCAATTTCCCGCCCTGATCACCATAGCGTGGGTGATCACGTGATGGAATATCGAATGAATCATCGACGTAATAAGGTGTGACATTGTTCCATTGAGTAAAATCCATATTAATTAGAATGGTTTTCGGTAATGATACGGTATCTGGTTTTGACATACCTTTATAACGGCGAATATAACTAATCAATTGATAATAGTAGTTATCACCATGACCATCAAGCATAGGCTCAATATCGCGTGAATATTCTTCAATGAATTCATCAACGAAATACGTTGTACCGATAGGCCATTGTTTTCCAATGAAACTGTTTTGAGCGCTTGTTTGCACGAAACGTTGTGCGATCCATTCATTCCATCCAGTAACAAAGATAAATGCCGGATCAATAGTTAATGCCCGCTCCCATTGTTGAGAAAAGTATGTGCCGTTCAATGGATTAGTTATGTCAGGTTCATGTTGAGTTGGGCCATCGAATGAACGGCCGATATTCATTACAGGATGTCCGGCTACTGTTACACATGTTTGTTCTAATTGACCTGTTTCGCTGAGACCAGGCCCTTGCGGATAATTGTCGATCCATGGCCATTTACCATGACCATCACCATACCATGCTTGCCCTTTCGTCCAAGCCCAAGATTCTCGTATAGTAAAAAAGTTCAGCAGATCAGACGGAAAACTAGTCGGATTGGCAAATATCAATGGTTTACCTTGCCACATAAACCACAAGTCCCGATAGAGATTATGACTATATAAGTAATCATACAAGTGTCGAACTGTTTGCTCAGTTGACGACCACGTTATAAAACAAAATTGTGGCGTGCGTATGGATCTCGAACGCATATCAAGATAGATACTACCAATTTTCGACCATATATTGTCATACGTGAACGCATTTGTCGCGTCAAATATGAGTGTGTCAACGCCGGCATCAGCAAGCATTTGCGCATGTTTTCGAATGACGAAGTCATCATCCATCAGGTAGTAGTCGAAGTATGGCTGGCCCCAATGGTGAAAGCTGTTCAACGGGCCCCATGTTGCATTGATTAAACTTCCATTAGCTTTTGCCAAAATTTGGGTGTTGTCATAAGGCCCTGTTTTGAAACTGGCTTCGTTTTCAGCCCAAAGAAAATAGAAAATTCCAATGGATTTATTCGGTTTAATATCGCCCACTTGTTCGTAAGTAGGCAGCACACGTCCTAAGCTGTCGCACGCTGCCCACGTATCTGGTTTGGTCATAAACGACAGATCCACAGTCGATACAATGATCCATTGAAAAACGAATACGCACAATGTAGAACGCATATTTTCAAAAAAGTTGCTTATCACACATCAGTTCTCATGGATGTATATTTATATACGAGTATCTCGAGAACGATAGAAGATAAGAAAAACTTAAGTTACGCATAAAATATAAATCTAACGCCGAAGATATGGATCTGTTTAGAGAGATTTACTGAGTAGATTCTATAATTTCCATCAAACGAATTTTCTTATTCAAGAAATCGGAGCTTTTCTGATTTTACACATAACAATTATCTCCAACAAGATATTTCTCAATCATTCCGCGTTCGTGTACAAATTAATAATCTTACCTCGTTTATATAAAAGTTGGCTTCATCGATGGTTCCGCTAAGTAAGTTGATTTGACTTCGTCGTAATTCAGCCATATGGTCCGAATCGATAGGTAAACAATTTGTCGATGCTGTTGTATCTGTCTGCTCCATTGTCAATCTGTAAAACATGGCAGAGACATGTAATATATCTTTCTGGAGTAAATTATAAGGGATATGGACCTATTTTTCGGGCTCTATATTATTAGGGGAACTGTTTTTAGCTTGTGTTGATAGATATAAATATTACATATTTTTAACGCTAACCAGGACTATTTTTCGATGTAATGCGCTGACTAATCGGTCCAGTCTTATGTATGTCTTGATGTTTTTCTCCTAATAGTAATTTTCTCGCGTATCTGTGTGATTAGATTGCTCGAAGACGTCTATTTTATATCAAGGAAAAGGCGACAATGATAGATGAATGATTGAATTTTGCTTGTGTGCTGTTTTGTTTCGAGTCTTCAATCAGGAAAGCAAGAGAAGAGAGGAAGGATAACGATGCTCAATCTTTTCAATGTGAAGCAAAAATAATGACTATAGTACTATAGACTTTTCCTTTTGATGTTCTCTTGCATTTATTCAGTCGACTAAATAGAGGGGTAGCCTATAAGCGATCATCCGATTTGTCTTCAAGCGTACAAAACAAGATCGTCCACATAAACAATGCACGTTCGAAAGAAAGAGACAAAGAGAGAAAAAACGGCAAAATGAACGCAATAACATGTTTTATCGGATCGTCAAATTTCATAAGTCTACTCGATTAAGCTCAGAAATCCCCCCATACTACCACAGTGAATAATAATATTAATATAAAATATCGAATGCATGTACTAACATTAAAACGGTCTTGACAGGGAGACGACGAGTGGCACATTTAGGGATATGTATTCATTGAATCAGAAAGCAAAAGAAGAAGAAGAAGAAGAAGAACGAAGAAAACAATTTCCGTGACATGTCATAGAAATATGACAATACATTTGTAATGAACGTTGACTATATTTTTTAATAAACTAGCTCGTTCATCTCTCAAAATGTAAAGAGACTTGAAAGGAAAAAAAAAGGTGAAGTGATTATTCGACGATTTTGCTCGGCAAGACCTATTATTAAGAAAGTGACGAGATGGGATTTTATTCGTGTTGTTTGTTCGGAGCTATCATTAGAACTTGACTGACATTTTCTATGATGATATATAAACAGAAGAGAAAAAATCTCATATAACAAAGTCACTTGTTTTGTCAAGATGAAGGAGTACAACGAATGATAACCATCATCAATAAAGATGATGTGTGTTACGCCAAAGGAACGAGAAGGATGTGTGGAAAGAGGAAAAAAGAGAAGCAGAAAAAAAACCGATGACGTTTATGGGATTATCAGAATTTTCTTCTTTTTTTTCTTATTCGAGATTGTTTACTTACTTGTTTGATTTAATTATATTCTTCTTTTGTATTGAAAAACATTAATAGTCACAATAACGATCGATGTAAAGAAAATCGAGAAATTCTCTCATGGCTTGTCAACAAAAATTAGTTGTCGATGAGTGATTTCTCTTCGAATCGGAAAGAAATATTGAACGCAACATTGGAAGCACTCGAGCCAAGGTAAAATGAAATAGATTCTGTCTCATCGATACTTCAGATGATCTTTCTCGGAGAATGTTAACATGTCAGATTTCTCATCCGAAGCCAATCTTCTGTCATTTTCTCTCTCGTGAATCGCCTGAAGTCAGATGGTATTCATCGAATGGATATGTATAGATTCGTCTGATCTCATTTGACATAAATCTTTTCCAAGGTGTATCCTTTCGAAAGCTATTATGGAAATTTAGTCGCTTTTGCTCGAAAGCAGTCCTGATATTATTATTATTCACGAGAAGAATGTTTTAACAGACAGTTCGCTCTTTTTCTCGACAAAAAAAAAACATTAACGAGTTCTAATCAAATTTCGGCAATATTTTCTATTAATTTATGGTGATAAATGTATTATTAAACTCTTGTATTCCATTAGGACTATCTTGTCGAAAATTTGTTTTCTTTTTTTCAGCATCCATTTGTATAGAAAAAAAAAAGAAACTTGCCATACTCGAGACCATTTCCGTCAAGTAATTTCTCCCATAGTTAGAATTCTGAATTGAATTGATAATACGCCTCGCATGTATATAGTTCTCCAGCTAATCTATTCACAGGGAAAGATGAATGGCTTTCCAAGTACGCTAAACGGACATCCTCAAGACGAGAACTTGTCAACAAAGAATCTCCGTACCACATATATGTATATAACATATGTCAATCGAGATTGAGGATATTGGAAACTGAAATGAATGACATTCATATCTTCGTTTTCCTTGTCGTTTTTATTGTTTAGTAATTAATTTAATCATCATTTTCTGCTTAGTCAAGATAGTTTGCATCAGAGAAGAATACAACTCTTTCATCTATAGATTAATGAATGCTTATATGAATATGTAAGATGCATTGCACGCCACTACTATTAATCTTCATACATGGCGAAAGAAGGAAATGATTGAAACGTGCTTTGACGAGATGAAGTTTTTCTTGCTTATTAATAATCACGAAAAGAAATTAATTAGCTGAGAATATAAGAAACCAAGTTTATTTTAGTTTTTCTCGTTCAAAAACGGCTTTATTGCACGTATAGCTTCATCCGAATGTTCAATAAGTAGACTATGATTTGCTCCAGGTACGATTGTCAACGAGGAATTTTTGTATAGTTGATGGTAACGATAACCATTTTCGACTGGTATTAACGTATCTTTGTCACCCCAAATGATCAAAATCGGGATATTCAATTTGTTAACGGTTTGGATCGAATTCAAAGCCGAATCGAAATCAAAATATAAAATGGTAGAAAGTAATGATCGTAAATATCCGGGGTGATGTTTACATGCTTTTAAAAATAAATCTACATATTGTTTGTACTTATCCGATCCTGGATATGCCCATTGAGAGCGTATTTTTTCGCTATCACCACGTTGCATGATTAATTTAAAAAGTGCTGGGCCAAGAATTGGGACCGATAAAATCGATAATAAAACGGGCGATGGTTTCGGATTGTTAAGGCCAACTGAACAGCAAAGAATAAGTTTGGAAACACGAGAAGGATATAATTCCGTAAAGCGCTGTACAATGTATCCACCCATACTAACTCCAAACAGGTTGTATTTCTGATGTGAAAGTTTCAATGCAGATAGCAGTTCGACGAGCTGTGAAACGAATAGATCGATGTTCATTGGAACGTCGGGAGCATCAGACCAACCTCGACCGTATAAATCAAATATTAAACATGATTGATTATCATTAGACAAAGATTGAAAAACATCTTGCCAGATTTCCATTGGAATAGAGAAGCCATGAACGAACACATTCAGGGTCGATGATGAATTTATCGATGATCGATAGATGTAATGAACTTTTCCAAAAGAAAGTTCAATGAATTCATCTGAACCCATTGATGTTAAAGCACCACTCGATTTCGAATTGAATTGGCGTGATAAACGGCCAGATGGAAATCCGAGTCGGTCACGAAATTTATAAATCAATCCCGCGCTTCCAACGATGAAAATAGTTATTAACAACGACATCTAAACGAAGCTAACATTGTTCGAGAATCTCCTGCTGATCTTGCTCTCAATAAGTGTATTATGGCAGAATAACAAGAAGAAAAGAAGATATATGTGCAATACATATACGTATACATCATACTCATATCAATTGATCGTTGTTTCTTTTGGCTTTTCAAAAGGACAGTTTGAAGATAATAATAATAGTAAAAAAAAGAAAGAAAACAGAGAACAGAAAAACAAAACAAAACCAGATTGATATGCATGTGTGTTTGTGTTTGTGCTTGTATGTGTGCGTATGTCTTGTATAGAATATAGATATTCCAGAAACGAAGAAAAAAGAACAAATTTTGTTAGACATGACAAACACCGCAGATCAAGAAACTAAAAACCACGCGAGAAGGTAGAAGAAATGAGGACAGTACATAATCACTGTCAGCTTTTTTTGAAACTTGTCTATCCTCATCCATACACACATGCATAAAAAGCAAAGAAAAAACTCAAGAAAGAATTATTAATATGAGACAAAAAAAGAACAAAGTTTTATACAAAGAAGAAAACAAGCAATCTTTTTTGCCTTGGATATTTGAAATATAACTCGTTTATAAACCATTCCCATTCGAAACTTTCGAGTGTTTGGGGGTATTTCGTTCGTGCTCAGTACGATATTTAGTCACATAGCCATGAATCATTTTTTTAATTCGTGTTTGATCGACTTCATTTGCATCTGTTGCCTGAAAAAGACGATGAATTCGAGTGAGTCTTTTTTGAAAGTGAAATCTGATGATATACTTACTTTAGTTACTACTTTTTTCATGATGATCTTATACTCTTCCTTTGTAATACCACGTTTTTTGAATGCGGGTTTGAGAGCTTCTTTAGCGATGATTGCAATTTCAGTTTGGCGTTTTTTGCGTTCTTTTCTCTGAACAGAAAAACAAAATAGATCTTTTGAAAAGGTTGCGAATTTTTCATACTCGCTCTAGCCGTTCGAGATGCTTGGCAGATATTGGCACTGCTTCTTCAGTTGTTTCAGTAGTTGTTGCTGAAAAACTGAAGGTAGAAAAGAAAGTGCTATACAATCTACTTACCATTAGGATCAACTTTTTTATGAAGTAATTTCGTCATGGCTTCGGAAAGCTTTTCATACATGGTTGTTTCGCCTGAGCCAGTCGTAATGGATGACTGACTTGAAATTAAGGTTGGTAATTTAAGTGACGTAGGAATTGATAAATCTTCTAAAACGATGAAACGAATTGTTTCGAAAAGGAATGAGAATGACGGACTCATGTACCTGGTTGAGCTTCTTCCGGCTTCTGTGAAGCAAGCCATTCAGACGTGTAGTGTTTTGATGTTGTCGAACGTCGCTCGTCAGGAAGATGAAACTGCTTAGTGAGCGACTTCGATTCATGTCCTTTTTTGACTGTTGCCGAAATTAGCAAGTTCACATCTTGAGGACTATCTGTACTTTTGTCACTCGGTGTTGTTATTGTTGGAACAGGAAGGGTAGCTTGAGAATCTGAATTGTGATCATTTGTTGAACTTGATGATTTATTATTGGAAGAATCTGTTGACCCACCCAACATGGTTGATATCCGCTCATCGAGAGACGTGCGAGAATTATTATCGGTTGTTGAATTTGTAGTAGTCGTCGTCGTAGTAGTCGTAGTCGTAGTCGTAGTAGTAGCAACAGCAGTAGTAGCGGTAGTGTTGTTTGTTGAGTTAGCTGCTGAAAAACAAAACTTCTGTAAATTTAATATATCAATCAATTTAAACGCTTACAAGTATTTGATGACTGTTTTAGAGCTTGTTTCTTATGTCTTGAAGATAACGGAGGAGTCATATGATTTGTATGTGGAACTTTGTACAAGGTATATGGTTTTTTTGTTGGTGACGGTGTCGAAGACGAAGTTGGTGCTATATTTGCCACCGATGTCACAGTCGTTGTCACTGTCGCGGTTGCAGTTGTTGTAGTCGGTAGTGATGCGACCGGTGCTGTGAGTGCTGTAGTCATCGTCATTTCAGTTTTTACTGACTCTTCTTTCGTATCAACTTGTTTAGCTGACGTGTCAAGTAGAGTTAAACTATCGAGATCAACAGATTTGTCGGGCTTTGGTTTCCATTCTTCGTTCTTGTCAAGTAGCCCTTCTTTTAAAGGTACATTACTATGTGCACTTCCATTAGTTTTCGGTGCTCCGGTTGACTTCGACGAACCGTTAATACTAGTTGATTCAACTTTAGAAGAAACAGTTGAATTGACTGATGGTTTGACTGGCTCTAGTTTCGTTTCAGGAGACGTTTCTGAAAGATTACATAACATATTGCATTTTGGTCTCAATACGAAAATCATCATGTCACGATTATAGAATTTTACATAGTTAAGGCACTAGAGCATTTTTCAGACAATTTAAATGACTATATCCGGAATCAAACATACATCAGCGTTAGGTTATTATACCGACTATTAGCATATTTCATCATAGTCATGCAAAAACTTACGTGCGAATCTCTGCTCAGTTTTTCGAGACCTCCCAGGAAGAACTGCACTCGGTGAGGGTCGATATCGTCTTTCTGTCTCAATGTAAGCTGATTTCATGTGTGATGTTTCCTTTCGATAGCCCGTACGAGCATTTGATTTCCTTGGAGATAATGTCCCTGAGTGGTTATATCCATGCTTACGTTTTTCTGTTGATGAACATCGTTGACTTGATTCAGTGTAACTGCGAGCTGAATATTCATCAGATACAGACGTCGTTAAGCAGACGCGAGGTGCATCAGAAACTTTGGAACTAAGTGTCCGGCGTTCATTGGATGATTGATACGAAAGTAATGACGATGAATGATCACGAGAAGAATACTTTGATGATGAATGTGAATGATAATTACGCGATGAATCATTACGATGCGAATGATAATCATCTCTTTTCGAAGAACGATGATTGGAGTAACTATCGTGTTTATTGGATGTTGATGGAAGTTTCGACGACGAAGAACTAACAAATACTCGTTCTCGATGTTGCTGTTTTGAATCAGCTCGATTGTCATTTCGAGAACTCTTTCGATATTTTGACGATGAGATTGCTTCAGTATCGGATAGATCATCATTAGTCACTGTATTATGTGTAGATGTATTTGGAGACGACGTGTGAAGGCGCTTGCGGTCGGAAGAATGATGATTGCGATGATGTGGCGATCTGAAATCGATATAAATGAACTTCTTCATCTTCATAAATATTATGCTTAGATAGCGTACCTCGATCGGCGATCTGAATGTTTTCTGTGATAATCTTCAGGACTTTTACTTCGACGTCTTGTTGCTTGTTCATTTGATGTCATTGATAAAGATTTATCAGAACTGGACGATGGATTCGATTTCGAAAGCACGACGATCCGACGTGATGGAATTCTAAGACAATGAAATGAACCACTCCTGGTCTTTTAACTGAAAGTCGCTCTTCTTACCCATTGTTCGTTCGAATCGAGTCAGAGTGTTGTTGTTGAGTGTTGATTGACTGTTCATCATCGTCATCATCATCATCACCTTCATCGTTGGAATGCGGATCATAAGGTTCATTGCCTCGGTTGACAACTAAAGATGACGATGGATTTTGTTCAGGAGTACCATAACGAGCATATTGTTCCTGAACTGACATCTATAATACAAAAAAAACACAGAGTTAATTACTAATCACACAAAAGATGTTTTATGTCTCTCACTCTCTTGCGTTAATCAGTCTAGTCGTCAAGATCCGTGCTATGTATCGGAATTTTCTTTATTACTGATTTAACAAACAAGGAAAGAGAGATACAGCAAACACATACATATAAAACCAGAAACATATTTACAAATCAACTATAACAAAGAATAAGTAAAGGAAGAGAAAAATAATGTTAATTTCGATTTTCTTCTTCTTCGTCTTTAGGATATTTCAATATGTGGTCTAGAATGTGGAAAAGAATAGAAGTTGGAAAAGCATGATGGACGTTAAATAGATATATGGATTTACCCGTGCATTCGGACATTTTGTAGACTGTGAAGACGTTCTTGAGAATGAATTAAATTATCAAGAAAGGACACATTTGTTGTTTGTGTAGAAGTATTAGTAGTGTTATCATTGTTAGTTGCTGATGTCATTGTTGCAGTTACTTGACGTTCCCGGGTTGACGTATTAGCACGACGTTGAATACGTGGCAGTTGAGAAACAGGCACTCGTGCTTGAGGCACCAATGGCGGACGAATTGTTCGCGTAGGTATACGATCGAGTGATGGAGTCATTCGTCGCATACTCAATTGTCTGCTAATAGAAGGTTCTGTTTGTGTACGCGTCAATATTGGAATGCCGCTAGCAGCTATTCGACGAGCAGCTTCACTATAAAATTTTAAAAAATGCAAGTTTTGTAGGGGAATATTTCTGCAAGTCAAACCTTGGAGTGATAATCGCTCGATTTGTTGACGAGGTTGAAGATGACTCTTCGTCTCTAGAAAGAATACAGTTACAAGATAACAAAAGAGTGAATATATGACTGAACGAACAGGGCAACAGGTTCACCATCAAAAATTGATAATCTTGATGTTTCAGTTCCACTTCTTGCGTTGGATGAACCGCTCGAAACGGAATCATTTCTTGTTATTGCCTAAATAGGAAATAAACTTGAGCAATTCTTTGACTATTTATTTCCATTGGAAACTTTATTTAATGTTCTATGCTATCGTCTAAATTAGATAATTGCAACACGATTGAGAAACTGCTTACATTAACTCTTTCTATTCGTCGAGTGACATTATTCAAAGCTGTTTGTTGACGTCTTTGGCGTTGCCGTTGTTGCTGCAATGGAGTTTGTCGTCTTGGAGCGGATGCACGTCGTCGTCTTCGCTGCGATGGCCGATGTCGTGATCTTGCGTTTGGTGATGCTGTACGTTGATTGCGCACACCACCTGTCCCTACATGTATATGATTACGACGAAAATGTCTTTCGTTATCACATACTCATACGTGCTGTCTGTCGTACTCTTGGCTGTCTAACAGGCGTAGTTGTATCAGTAGGCTAGATTGTTCGAAAATTAATCGGTTGTATTCATCAAGATATTGAAAACATCATACTTCTGTATCAGTTGTGTTCATAGTATCATCAAAAAGAATTTGTTGAAGTTCTTCGAGATCACTATCATCGTACAGATCTTCGGTTGCCGACAATCGATCCACTTCACATAATGGACACATCCATTCAGGTGTGTCAGGAACGCCTGGTAATTCCAGACAAAATGTATGATAACCATTTCCACATTCATCACAGATTAATAAAAGATCTTCTTGGTCGTCACGACCACAAACACGACATGTGATGTCGTCGTCGATCATTTCAAGAAAATTGTCTTCTAACTGTAATTCTAAACGATTATCCTGAACTTTCATCTATTGAAAAGATGAAGAGAAAAATAATTTTCAAGGATGACTAAAATTGCTTGTACATACTGTATCGTATGGGTTTGGACTAGTGAATGAATGCTTTTTAAATATCTTTCGGAAAACTTTACGGTCAATTGGACATGAATTGTTTTTCTAAATAAAATATTCGGCTATAAATCATCTTTTACTCTTGATCTTACTTTAGCCCATTCAATAATACAAGCCAAACAGAATGTATGTTCACAGTTTTCTGGAATACCAACTTCTTGTCTAGCAAAATTCTCCATACATATAGCGCATTGTTCTGTGGGCGATGTAGTCTCTGGCATTGTTTGATCGGTTGGCATGGATTCAGAATCTTTACCTTTCTGATCTTGTTCACGTTGTCGAGAACGAGTTGTCTATAAGAAGTGGCAATGATTCAAAGAATTCTTTTCTTTATATAGATGGATACTCACGACGCCTATGCTGACATCCTAGTGAAATGAAAAACAATGCAGCCGTAGGTTTAAAAAGTCTCGTTCATTCGAAATTCTTACATTGTTCCTACGAAGATATTTCCTCGGTTGTTCGTTTGTAGTTATTGCATCATTCGTCGTTTGCTCTTCGATGGACGTCGATTCTGACATCTTAAAAAACGAAATGTTAACAAATGAATGAAAAATGACCTATTAAACTAAAATCTATGTGCAATTAGTCAAAGAAAACAATTGCTGCAGTCAAATTCTATGCACTCATGTATTTATTGTTTATTTATTTTTTTTCCTAGTTTCTCATTGTTCCGTTATTTTGTTCAATCACATGTGAGCTCTCCGTTTTCCTTCGATACGTTCTATTCGAGATGTCAGTCAATTCACGCTTGACAAAAACAGTGCCATCTACCGTTGATTTTGTTGTTTGTTTCTCTTGAAACAGTCAAAGTTATGTGACGCATGAGAGTACATCTTGACACATATTTTCAAGAATGTTCATTCTAACTTCAACGTTGAAAAAGAACTAACATCTGATGAATCATGAGTGAATATGCAATAGTGCTACTTCTCGGTTACTTTGGAGAGAAAAATTAGTTTTAATAAATTCTATCACTGATTTCATCTCTACACTTGATGCGACTTGCTCTTTTGATGAAAGTCTCTATCGAGAATATTGCTTTATAAATATCCGTCCATACGTTAAACATTTCAAACTACAGTATTACATTGCAAGTTTTATTCGCAATGAAATGTCTGCCAGATGTTATCAACATTTGAATGCGTATGTAATGAAATATAATTCTGGCTTGAAAGAGAAAAAAACAGAAATTCGCGTCAAGAATATCGTGCATAATAAAATAGTTTATATTTTCCTTCATTTGGCGGAATTATTTCGCTGGCAGCTTCATGCTTGAGTCATTTTGATTGCTTCTATACAAACAAACGTGTGAATTGAATCTCAACAGAGTTCTATCTTACTTTTATGTTTATGATGACCTTGTTTTCTCGATGACGAAGTTGAACGTTTCGATTTTGGATGTTTACCTACACGCTTTGCATGACTTTTTCTTCCTTTATGAGATTTCGATTTATGTCCGGACGTTGATTTGTTCTTTTTCGCTGTATGCGAATGTCGTTTGGCCATGATGAATTAGTTGGAAGAAATCAAAAGGATCAACGAAGTTACAAAAATCAGTATTAGATGTATGCGATAAAAGATGATAATTAGATCACTAGGGATCACGTCGCGCGAAAGTAGTAAATCTTAAAAAGCGCGCAGTTTTTGAGCGGTAAACGTTCAGCGAAGTTTTCGTTTTGCATTCGTAAATATTTTTATTGAACAACAAAAAGAATCAATGAACAAAAAAGAAATTGGAAATTCTTGTTTAGGGCGAGAAGAGAACGTATGAAAGCATTTATCAGAAATTATTACGAAAACAACGTGCAAGTAAATGGTTGAAAATAAAATATGATACTGTGTGAGCGATCAGTAGAGGAAAAAGTGCAATATGTATAAACGTGGAACCTATGGCCGAAAAACTCGAGAGAAACACAAATCTCATGAGGAAAATGATGAAATTTGGTAAATTACATAGAAGAAAGATCGCCGAAGTTATTAATACACCAACAGTTAATTGTAATTCTGCATTATCTTGTTGTTCTTCTTCGGCAGGTCTATTCGTACCAACGTGATTTGGTTCAATCGTGATCGATGTTGAATCTTCCCACTCATCTGTTTACACAACGAATGTTCACAGTTGCTTTCAAATAGAAATCCTTACCTGTACTGTGAATTAATTCCAGTCGATCACTATCCATTGCATACGAGTGTCCATTTCTCGGTTTTCCCTTGGCAACCTGTATTTGTTGATTCTGTTGCTTTGATTGATTCAATTTTGCACGTCGTACACGATCACAATAGACACTTACTGTTAAATTCAATGAGGATACAAACATGATAAACCATGATATCGATGTATACACTAACGAATAATAAATATCGTAATCATAGTCCCAAATACCGATATATGTTTTATGGCAAAAGCCATGATCATGTTGTAAACGTATAATATGATGAATATTCGAAATAGCGAACAGACATGTAACAACAATACAAATAATTAGAGAAAAACGCGTCTGAATACGCAGATTACACGTTATTCGCAACATTCGATCAACGCAAGCTAGCGTAAGCATCATGGTTATCAAATCATCTGCCAAATAATGTAGGTAAGTTATGAATTTACAGGTAAATAAATTCTTATGAATAACATCGATATTAAAGGTGAGTAAGCCGATGATAGGTATTGATATGAGCATATACACAGTATCGAATACAGCTTTGTGGATAATATACCATTTTAATGACGAATTTTTGTAGAATAAATGTGACTTGAACAATTGTATTAGTTTAAAGTTTGCCCATGGACAAACAATAACGACAAACAGACAGGTAAATCGTAAGAAATGTTTTAAGATCAGAAAGGAAGTTGAACTTGGTCGGACAGAATCTTCCAAATGAACAGTGTACGATATTAGATCATCAGACACTGTGAAATTTTCCAAGGCTTCCTCCATAGTAGCAAACGTTTAATGTCGTTATATCGTTTAAATGAATATAGAATAGAAATTTAAGTTTTTATCATTGATCATCCACATCGATTCAAATGATAAGAACTAAATGTATCAAATGACGTACGGAAAGAAGCGATGTTTATCAAGTGTGAAATAAGATTTGAGATATGGTGTTTTAAATAGATTTGATTTATTTAATTATTATATTACATGATACAATCACCGGGGATGAAAGAAACACAAGAAAAAAGAATACGAAGAGGAAAACAAAAAAAAAGGAAAGATAAATCATAAACTAAATGATGGATACGATATGGGAAAGTAGAGTTCTTGATCTGCCATTTCGCATTGTGATGTTGAAGGAGGTGAAGGTTGAAAATGTTCAACATGAGAATAGGGCGTTGGGAGAGAATATTGACCGTAGAATGGTTGTTGATAACAGTTAATGGCATTGTAAGATGGTGGTGGCATTGGAGGATGCGAATTGGAGAGCATCTGTGTCGATTGTGGATAGTGAGGAGTGTAGTTGTTCTTCTTTTTCACCAATGGTTTTTTTCGTATGGTTTCTTTTTTCGCACTGATAGATTCCAAATCTAATGGAAAGAGAAGATTCGTGTATGTGAAAAGGAAATAGAAAACAATCACGTACGACAATTCGGTGGACATTCATTTTTTAACCATTGAATGAAATGTTTTTCAGCATCTGATTGAGGCTCAATATTATTTAACACTTCATCACTATCCGGTCCAAAACGAAACGGTCCAGCGCCGATTTGTTTCATGGCAATTGATTTCGGTGTATAACCATCTTCATTGGCTATTTGACTTTTAGCACCACGGCAGATCAACACTTCCCATGTAGCAAAGGCGAGATTATACGCTGCTTTGAATAATGGAGTCTCCAGCTAAAACAAGACAGCGCAAATATTCACGACTGAAAGTATTCTCATTACTTACGTGCTCATCTTGGGCTTCAATGTTCGCGCCATGTTTCAGTAACAGTAAAGCACCATTTGTATTGTTCTCTGTTGCAGCATAATGTAGAGCTGTGCGGCCTATGAAATAAATTTCGATTAGAGCAATTTTTCTTTGTCTTTCTCATGAACTTACCGATTCGTGTTTCGTTTCCTCCAACTGATGTATCACAACGATCAGTTGCATCCACATCAGCGCCCGCAATTAATAAACATTCGACAATATCATTTGAGTGTGCACGAATAGCTTTTCTCAATGGATTATCGCCCGGTAGTTCTTCATTGTCTTTCTCGTAAGTGTATGTACTTGCATTGATATCCAGTTTCAGAACATTGGCATTAGTTAACAGAAATTGTACAATATCAAACGCTTTTGCTGATACAGCACGTAGTAAAGGTGTTGCACCATAGATATCTCTTGCATTCACATCACAACCATGTGAAATCAAAACTCGAACTGCTGTCAAACGTTTCCGACGGCAAGCAAGATGTAACAATGTTTCTTGATTTGTGCCTAAACGTTGATGCACATCCGCACCGCCATTAATGAAATAATTCAACGTTGCCTCCTCATCTGCTTCATATTTTCCAAATGGATCTCGACGAGAGATTTCCAATTCTAAAACACTTATATTACCATTTGGTCCACCAGGAATATTCAATGTATTCGTCGGCATAGATTCACAGTCTGGTGAGAGAGAATCATGTTCAAATTTTTGTCGTTTATTTGTTGGTAAATCATAATTGCTATTTTTTGTCTTCGAACGATTCATCCAGGGAATTTCACGTTTTGTTTCATCGATCAATGTCGGTGGCCACCAAACAGGTGCCTTAATAATTCGCTTAGGTCGATGCAATAAACCATAGCCAACTAGAGCTGTTAATACCAAAAAGCAAGGAATGATTGTTGCGACATATATGTACGTCGATTTGTCTTTCACTGGTTGAGCATGATCAGGAAGAATATTGATATCAGAGATGGGCATTTGAAGACGTTCAGCTAATTCGCCATTCTGTTGCAGTGCACCAAGAAAATCGACCGATTGACGAACATTGTCGAACTGACATCCAGCAGCCAATGTTGTATTGCATGTTTTCAAAATAGTAATATAAATTTTGATGCTAAAGAATAAATTTTTGATCTTGACTTTTGTTTCTCGAGAGGAAAATCGAACGTACCCAATCGGTTTGCTTTTCTCATTTCCGTCTTTGTACCAAGGCAGAATCAATTCACTTCCATCTTTATTCAATGAAATCTTCACTGGACTATTCAAGATTGAACTAAATCTTTGAAGAAACATTTGCTTGCGTTGTTCGAACGTTTCTCGAGTTATTTCCAATTGTAAGATTATCGTTCCAAGTAGTCCATCGTTCTGTGTTGGTAAGCAATCATCACGATCATAATTACAATCCATCTTATTGCATTCATGATCGCATATTCCATTCAAGGCTCGTGATTCACAATACGATTTACTGAAAAGTCGAAACAGCCTTAGCAGAGGAAAGCCATGTAGTGAAACAACTTACTTGCACGTTGATGACTGTCGATCGCAATCGAAACCATCGAATAAACATTCTTTAATATTACACTTTTCATCACATTGTTCATTACGGAATAAATGTGAACAGTCACTGATTGGACATAAATCCCACGGATCACGTTTTAATGTGCATTCGTAATTATCGAATTGACATTGGGCATAATTACATTCTCGATCGCATCGATTGTTGTTTCCTTTCAGTGAGCAATTATTCACTAAGCATGTATCAATGGTCGCTTGCGTATTACGAGTATTAACAACCAGAAGTTCACAAGAATGGCCGTAGAAATTAGCTGGACATTGACAAAAGGATACTCCTACGAGAAAAAATGAAATTTCATTTCGATCAATTAATCAGGCACCTTTCTAACATTCGCATACCTCCATCTTTTTTCGCACATATGCCGCCATTTAAACACGATGATTGTGTACATTGACTACTTTGACAATTGTTATTCGCCGTTCCCGGTGGACATATGCATACATACGAACCCGGTGTATTCTAAAAGATTATAATCCATTTTCGAACGTTTCTCTTCAAAAGCTATTCACAGGTAATACTTACATAACACATTCCTTGATCAGCACACGGTTTACTTCGACATTCGTCAATGTCATCTGTACAAAAGTCTCCTGTCCAGCCAGGAAAACAAGAGCATATATCTCGATTGCATGTGCCATATACACATTTGTTTGTCCCGTTGGATGCTGAACAGCTTGTGTTCTTTATCTTTGTTCGATCACATGTTTGATTCGGCGGACAAGAACATCGATATCCATCAGGTAGATTTTCGCATGTAGCATTTGCGAAGCATGGTGATGATGCACAGAAATCTTTTATAAAGACATTACACGTTCGACCGGAATAATTGGTTGGACAAACACAACGGAAATCTTTATTTTCAGTAATACGAATGCAGGTTCCTTGGTTTTCGCACGGATTATTCTGACATGGATCAATGACATTTTCACAAAAACGACCTGCGTATCCTGAATAAAAGATAAAAGCAAATTAAGCAAAATAATGTCATTTGTGATTATCACAGAAGACGAAAAATATTCGTCATCTTGCCGGTAGACAAGAGAAAACAAACAGGATATCGCAAAGACTTGATAGGAAAAGAGAAAAAGCGTTCGATGGGAATAAACCGTGAGATTACGATCTCATCNGACATGGATCAATGACATTTTCACAAAAACGACCTGCGTATCCTGAATAAAAGATAAAAGCAAATTAAGCAAAATAATGTCATTTGTGATTATCACAGAAGACGAAAAATATTCGTCATCTTGCCGGTAGACAAGAGAAAACAAACAGGATATCGCAAAGACTTGATAGGAAAAGAGAAAAAGCGTTCGATGGGAATAAACCGTGAGATTACGATCTCATCACAGACATGTGCATCTTCTTTCATCTTCCGACCGCTTTTCAACCGGCGACACGCACACCGCTGCGAATGATGCTCTTTTCTCTATTTATTTGCAATCAAATAAAAACGTGTGAGATACTGATCTCTATCTGAAATAATTATGGGAAGAATTTTTTTAGCGTGGACATTGAAATATTCAATGATAGTGTTAATGGTACGCGTGCCTATTTGTTCCACTTCATTTTCTGAGAATTCTCAAATATCCTCTGAATTATTTGCTTCTTTTTCTCTCATCTGAACACACGCGTTAAGAGTTGTCATTGATTTCAAGTATGACAACAAATGTACATGTTCACTTTTCTTTTATATTCAATAGGGAATTGCAAATCATTCACCCGATCGTGTGTATGAGAAAAAAAAGCGTTTTGTCAAGTGTAATGAAACCTTCAAATTGATGTACATTCTTTTGTCTCTATGTGAATAGAGTACATCCGGGGATGTGCACATCTTATCGATCAAAATAAAGAGAAAGATGACTAATGGAAAATATGTTCTTACCTTGTGGACATGAGCACATAAATTCACCAAGGCCATCTATACACGATCCATCGTTACGACAGGGAGAACTTGAACACTCGTCGATATTGATTTGACAACGATCGCCGGTAAACGCTGATGTACATAAACAGGATTCTCGTTTATCTTCGACATTGACAATACAGGTGCCATTATTTAAGCATTTACTTTGACAAAGATTTGAGATGTGAAAACAATGATTAAAAGCTAAGAAAGACAAAGAAATAATTTCGGAGAGATCATTGACTAAGCTCTTACGAATTAAAATTAGAGTGGCTAAGAGAACGAGCCACATGATGATAATTGTCGAAGATGTGTTTTATTTATAGACAGCAGACGTTACGGACAAGTGAAATGAGCCTAATTTTTAACAAGTTTCAATTTATATACATATATGAATGACGCGTCGATTTCTTCTTTTCTTCTTTTCTCTCTCTCTCTTTCTCTCGTTCTTACCTATTGGCTAACCATATGAAATTTGTCTATATGTCCTATCGATCCATTCTTTATCGATTCTTTCTCTTCTACGTGGTCATCATCATCGTCGTGTGAAAAATACGAAAAGAATAAGTCATGAGTGATCATTTGAACGCAATGAATGATCGAAAGTGGAATGTCCATAAAAATAGATTCAACCGTATCGATGACTCAATCGATATAAGACCATTTAGAGAGAAGAACCGCCGTAGGGTTCAATTCATTCAATCATCCAACGTATCGTTATGTTAGCTGAATCGATGACAATGTTGTTCATGTCAATTGATCCATATGACTAAGCATAACAAAAGCTATTATATCCTTCGTCAAACAATTGGTTATGCGGTTTAATATTCGAGAAGAAAATATTTCTGCGACATAATAATCTTTAATAGGCTTTTTTAGTTTTCAACCATGACAACATATAAGTATATAACCGGAACGCGTTAATGTTTTGACTAGACATTGTCGTCTGAAATAGTCTTTTTGCTCATCAACAAGGTGATAAAGATCAGAGAAAAGCATCTTCGTTAAGTCGCTTGTTATTCTTGTCTTCTTCGTTTCCGAAAAATGAACAAAATCTAATGACCGAAGCATTCGCGACGAGTATTATTCATTATGAATGACAACTCATCACATGTGTTACACTTCAATAAACGGAAATGAANTTAATGTTTTGACTAGACATTGTCGTCTGAAATAGTCTTTTTGCTCATCAACAAGGTGATAAAGATCAGAGAAAAGCATCTTCGTTAAGTCGCTTGTTATTCTTGTCTTCTTCGTTTCCGAAAAATGAACAAAATCTAATGACCGAAGCATTCGCGACGAGTATTATTCATTATGAATGACAACTCATCACATGTGTTACACTTCAATAAACGGAAATGAATGAACCCGCCAGCTATACCAAGTGACAAACGATTGGACATGGTTAACACAGTCAAATAGCAATAAGATGATAAAAATAATGCAGAGAGATTCATTTATGATTCAATATTTCTTTCCTTATAGGCGATTAAGTTTTTGACTTCATCGAATGCATACATACAATTTCTATTCGGAAAATTATGTATGTTATTAAACGAAAAACGTCAAGTGGCACGTTAATTTCTTTCAGTATTCATTTGCATATGTACATATTGCTATTGTGAAATGAATTCGAATGTAACTAATTAGTTTATGATCAATATTCGTTAATTGAAGACACATTATTTGATTTCTTATCCTCTCCGAGTATTGCTGATGAACTTCGGAGATAACGGATTACACATCTTATTGTAAGTACATATGTGATAATGGATATGAACAATAGGAGCGAATTAAAGAGAATAAATCACAGACAACATCTCAAGAAGCTGCTCTTATGATTTGACTCTCTTATTGAAATGCAAAGGACACTTCACGGTTACATGTATACATTGAATAAACATATTCAATACAAATGGATAAACGAAAAACGTATCGTCGAAAAGATACTTATGTGATTGATAGAATTGGTGACATAATCACGTACGGAAAAGCAATCGATGCTGCCAGTGCTCGTTTCGAAAAAAACAATTCGTCAGACAATGATTCAGGTTTTTTCTTCATTTCAGCATTGAATAAGAACGAAAGGCAGTCAAATCAAGATAAAAAAGCCAATGTCACATGTGTTTACCTAATGAATCGCGTAACGAGTCAAAACAAGATGATTCTGTTTTTTACTTTTCCTTTGTTTCACGCGCAAACTCGAACATACTTCGAAGCAGTGCACTGCATTTTACTACGCACACACACACACACACATACGAATACTTCTCGGTGCACTTATTGTCATTCTGCTTGTTAAAATCTCGAAAATCATGGCTAGTCAATATCCATCGACATTTATTCAACAATATCCCACCAAAATAGCTTTTCTTATCGATTGCGCTGGTGGTTTAAATGGGTTTTCATTATCGTCAAGATTTATGGACAATTTCCCACCGAATAGTGACATTTTTTTATTCTATCCAAACAGCGAACCGGGAATGAATCGTCGTTTAAAACGTATTGAATCCGATAGTCATGGGGTCTTCTTTTTTCCCACGTTGGACTATGGCATTGAATGCACTATCTCGTTTCTTCTCGGCCAAATCAATGATAAATACGATGCTTTTACCCTTGTCACTAGTTATCATCCAGCGTTTGAGAATATTTGCCATCAATTGATTGCCAACCGTAGTCAACTGAAAAATCATATCCAGGTTCGTTCGTTCGAAAACATCAATCAATTCGAACAGTTCTTAAAAGAATTGATACGTTTACAAAATGACACGGAAACGAGCAAAACGAATAAGAAAACCGTGGTGAATTATTCCAAGAAACATCTTTTTCATTCGTGCCCATTCGAAAGCAAACAAGACTCGACAATTTTATATCGCCTTGGCGATTTTCTTCATCATTTGGATACCGAACATGCCAATGTTCATTATGATTATTGCACTGATTGTGAACAACTAGAAAACGATCCACAGAGTTTGGAAGGACATATTCAAGAGAAACATTGGAAAGCTAATGGATTTCATGTCAATATTCGATCATCGTGAATGAAAAACTTTAACTTATAGATGATTAATGAAATTTTTTACGAAGAAAAAGAATAGCTATTCAAAATAAAATATACGAAAGATTTATTGAAAATATCAGTTCAAACGACAGGAATATTACCTATATATTTAAGGACAAAACAGAATAGAAAAAGCAACACATCAAGCGCGACTGTCTACTTGAGCTAGTGTTGCTTTGCCGGCAACTCGGTGTATACAAGCACGCTTTCCCAATGCAGCGAGGACAATATATGACCATAGTTGCACAAGACTCAGTGCAATTAATGTTAATGGAGTTAATATCCAATGCAGAATATTTCGCAGAATGAATATATCTTCTTTGACATTCAATGTCCATCGACACCAAACAGCATCCAAGATAAATAGAATGCCATACAGAATCTGAGGAATGATCAGACCAATTAGAATGAGTATGTGATATGCCTCCAGTGGCTTCGGTAACCATTCTAATCGAAAATCTGGACACGTTAATGGAAAGAACGCCGAAGAAACGTTGATAAGACTTGCACTGCAAAGTATAACACCATAATAAAGAAAATAACCAATAGCAAATATGGTCGAGGCCAGGATCGGTAATCGAGGAATCTTTACAGCAAAATAATGAAAATTGTCCGCAGTACCTAAAGAAAACGAACATATATCATGTAGGAGAAGCAAAAGGAATTTTTCTTACCGATGCCCCATCGCCGTACTTGAATGTACCATTCCTTCACATCAGAAAACCAAGTATCACCCGAAGTTGGCCCAGATCGAACTGGAACAGGGAGAAGACGAATACGTATGCGTCGTTGCGTGCCAATCATCATTGTTAGTAGATAACCAACATCATCCATGAAGATTTGTGGATGCCAGTAACCACCGCGCACCGCCAGTGTTAGTGAAAACGAAAAACAGGACATTGGATTGACATTGTATGGAATGAGTAAACCCATTGTCATCAATGTACGAAGGAGGCCAGTTATACGAACTGGAAACGAGTTTTGATCCAGATTCCAGTTATAAAAAAGTGGTGCTTGCCAGATAGTTCGATGCACAGCTGGATCCCTTTCTCTAACACGTCGTAAATAATCAGCTGTTAATGCTTCAAAATATCTCGCATGAAACAATGTATCAGCATCACATGTGGTTACCATAAAATGTTCAATTTTTTTCTTTCGCTCCTCGTCGCTCATGATAAAAGTCACTGCTTCTCTCAAACCCCAATTGGCATTTGCCGCTTTCGATGCTACTTCGTTCTCCAGGCCATACGGATGCACAGGAAAAAGAATATGGTAGAACTTGTCACCATAACGTTGACGTATCAATTCACTTCGTGCTTCTCGGTCAGGCGTTCGAGATTCCCAAGCCATAACTAGAAGAATACGTTTTGCTTCCGTTTGCTCAGCCAGTGTATCAACTGTTCGGCAAACAACATCCATTTCATCTTTGTAAATTGTCAAGATCAATAAATGAACCAATGGTGCATCACTTGGATATGTTTGTTTATGATCTGTCGACATACCATATTTTAATTTTATTAACGTACTAATCGTAAATATGATAGCCAAAAACCAAACAAGATTTAACCAAAGCAAAACACCTGATATAGTGTAAAATGTCGCATGACACGATTGAGACGCATAACGAAGCCATACGGGCAGCGAAATAAAGACTAAAATAACAAACAGCCAAAGAAGATTCCAACGAAGTATAGAGAAATTCAGTGGTGAAAGTCGTTTCAAACGCTGAGCATTTCGAAGTATAACGGAATTCGTCAGAGCATCGTCATCCGATGGCAATGACTCGGCAACCGACGCAGTTCGTAGTGTTGTTTCTGTATCCATGCTAAAGAAACTTTTCTTATCACCTCGCTAGTCTGTTTAAATATCATATAAATGCTCCTAAAATATGTTTTTGTTGTTGATATCGACATGATGCTATGCTTAGTCAACATGAGTAGAGCAAAAACATTATCAGCGTGCTTCATATTCCATAGTACAGGGACTGCACGACTTCTTTTGTGATTTGAGCAGGATTGAAATGACGATACATTTCAAATTCATATCTGTCAACACTTTTACTAATGTCTGATTACACATATCGATCAATACCATGGATAAGATGATATCATCCTTTGATTCGTCTAACGTAATAGATGAAATATCATTGTTGATATCAACACGTGTCGTTTTGTATGTAAGGTTGATTAACTCGTTCGCAATGTGTTGACTTTTGTAGGTCGACAGAAAGTGAAACACATTTTTATTCTCTAATTATTACCGTTTGACAAATCTTGTATGCGTAATGAATAATCGTAAGCTCAGTCAGTTTACCTTGACCATTATGCCTGACAAGATTTGATCAACTGCGTTTCATCACTTCATTTCGTTCGATAGATCATTTCAACACTTGTCCTAATTCAATTATTCCGCAAGACAAATCTTTCCGAGAGGAAAATTAGTTGTATCAATAGAATCTATTTATTCATTCTAACAAATTCGTTTTCGACATCGTGTAGATAAAAACAAGAGGAAAATCATTTGAAAAAAAAACAAACGAAGGCATTAATATGATATGTTAAGGAAATAGATAATTTCAATTAGGTAAAAACTAATTCGAATGTCATAAAATAATCGAGTATATCTGATCTAACATAATGATTCATGACATGTATGTGCTAATTCTAGAAAGACAGACAAAAACATGAGATTATTGAGTAAAATTGATCTCGAATTTCATTCAATTTACCATGTCGGAATCGATCAAGTTGAGTTGATAGATGATTGGTACGAGTCAGCGATAATTCAACATTCAGTTGAGTATTTTCCACCTAGGAATAACAGAGAACAATTGAATATTTCCGGAAAATATGTAATTTACTTCTAGAGCATCAAAAGCAGTATTTAGTCGTTTGACATCCGTCTGTAATTGACCGAGAATTTTTGATTGATGCTTTCGTGTTAATAATTCTTGCTCAAGTTCAATAACTCTTGTTTGTAGTAATTCACAACGGTTACATTCTCGTTCATACTTCATCTAAAGACATAACAGAGATGTGTCAACAGCAATCGGAAGAATATAGTTTTTAGCTTACCTTCCACTGAGACTCGTGGTGTTCGACATGTTTTAGGCGTGATTCTAATTCATCAATTCGCGTTTGTTTACTATAGAGGACTTGAACAAGTTCACTTGTGACAAGATATTGATCATCTGTCAATAAAGGTTTCTTTTTGGGCAAAATTTCTTGATTATCACGTGTAGGAATCATATCTTTTGGTAAATTATTTGTTTCATTCACAGAAAGAGAGTCGTCCTGAAGAGCAGCATCGATTTGTGTACGAAGAACGTCAACCTAAACATCAATATGTGATCAATTTCGGTATTTGTTATTGTTTCGCATACTTTTTTTTTCATTCGTCGATAACGACAACTATCACTGGAATCAGTTACAGGTAATCGGCCATTTGCAGATTTACTCCGAGGTTGAACTGGTTTCTCTCTGGAATATTCACGTGATAATTCACTAAGTTTCCGCCGGAGACGAAGAACTGATGATTCGCTCTCCATCAATACATTGTAAAGAAAGGAATAACTACACAATGTAATAGAAGATCATTACGCATATCTATGTATGTATGTATTATATCCGAGGGTTATGAAAGCTAAATGAACCAATGAAGATGGATTTTGCTCATGTACAGTGACATCTGTGACTATTTTGATGCGACTGATAAACGTTGTATGTATCTGTCGATCACGAAAAATGAGTTGTTGTCTATGACGACTCTGTTGAAACCTTTCTCGCACGTCAAAGAACTCTGTGATTGTCGGCAAACGGCTGAAACTTATTCCCGCGAGCTTTTCTCTTTCCTTCGGATATCAAAGGCGTTCTACGAATTATTTTTTTCTATGTCGTATTTGTTAAAGAAAAAAAAAGCTAGAGAGAGATAAATTTATCGCGTCTTTCTTCTATTTATTGAAGTCATCTGAACACAAAAGAAAGGAAATGAAAGCAAACAAGTAACAGTTTCTTCGATATTAGTTAAGTGCACTTATGTCGAGTGATGAAAGCATCGATTATACTCTCGCAGTCGCAAGAATAGATCCTCTTCTCGTTAATAATTTGCTTCACAACGCGAAAATATTTCTTGTAAGACAAATTTTCGTTGAATAGATTCCTCAAACCGTGAAAAATATGATTAGAGAAATAATGTCTAGGAAAATCAAGTTTTATCTACAATGCTATTCTCTGCCCGTCATGTCATGTTTAAAAACGACGGAATTCAGCATGGGGAAGGAAATCCTAATTAATTTAGATTGCAATATTATATTCTATGGCTGTGCTATGTAGATCAACAACATGCTCAATAGTTAAATAAGCGATTTCATAGCTATTTATTCAATCAAGCATATGTAAATAACAGCTCGAGTTGTAATACGAACTTGAATAATAAATTTCGCGCTATTTTCTTCTCTAATGATGTGCAAGATAACAGTTGTCTTGAAGTGTCTTATTGATGTTTTCCTAACTCAGTATGAAATCAGTTATCGTTCACTGTCTACCGAGAACATTTCCTAGTCAACATGAAAACTTGCAGATATAACAGCTAAACATAGTTCTTATCTTTGATGTGCTATAGATGAACTTCTCCTTTCTGATAAGACAAGAATATCTCGGAATGTTCAGACTGTAGTGTTCGAACACGTATGATTAATAGTATGCTGCCTATTGCTAGTTCTAAATGTTATATCCGTTTCCAATTGAGACAAAGAAAGATAAATGAGAACGAGCATGATTTCATGTCGCGACTTCTTTCTGATGCTTGTATTCGTACGATCATTGTTCTCTTTTTTTTTGTCGAAGACATGCAATAAATATTCCCTGAAGAATTAAAATCTAAGCTAACAAATGTACTATTATGGACGTTTCGTTCTATAATAAACAACTAACAAGGTCTTGTGAGAATTGCAAAACCTACTATTGAACAGTACTGCGTTGTGTCTGCGGAAATCATTTTTCGTAATTATTCTGTTCAATGCACTCATCATAGGCTGAAATCTAAAATTGAACATCGACGATCATGTCTGACACAGCTAATTCTAATTTCGTATTAATATTGACGAATCGACTTTGATGATCATTTAGACGCTTATTTCTACTGACTATCAGAAATGAGTGATACCCAGAGAGAATGCTCGTAGAGCTGCTACAATCCATCATCTTGTCCCAGAGCTCTCTTTGAATCATGGCGACATTGATCTGGCTAAAATCTTCTTCTATTACACGAGTATTCCATTACTTACATCAACAGTATCAAAAGTCAAGAACTGAAATTTGTAGTCTGTAGCCATGAGTATCGATCGATTAGAAACATTGATGACAGAGATTCAATATCAAGGTTATTCTATCGGTGATTCTTATCTTTGATAGTTGTTTATATAATACACGTATTCTAACAATTAATCGTCGGAAGGACATCTGTTTAATGTTACAGATTTTTGATACGATCGATTTTGATTCATTTTGCTCGTTATTATTAGAATTACGTATTTCAATCATCATAAATAAAATATCTCTTTGGATGTAATATGTAAAAGAAGATAATAACTCAATCAAATAGTGCCGTTTTCAGAAGAAAGCATACACACGAAAAGCATACTATTTCCATCATGCAAAAGAAAAGAAAATTCCTCGAATTAAATTCGGATTAGTATGCAAATGAGAATGCCAGGAGACAGAAGAAAAGAGAGAGAGAGAAAGGGACGAAAAGCATAGGAATGTGTACATCTAGAATTGTTTGCTAATTTCAATCGAGAAAGAATTACAGAACACAAAGAAAAATAACTCTATATATATAGAAGAATCACAAATTGACTTCATTGATAATTTCTTGACAAACAAAAGTGAAAAACTTCGTATCTGTTTGTAATCACTGAAAAGTTTGCCTTTTTGCTGCATTGTTCAAATCATCTCATGGATAAATTTAACACCTGATACAAACATTGTCCAGTAATAACTTTCTTCATCGGTAAAACGTGATGAATACAAATCTTGTACATATCTAAGCAAGTCAAATAAATGTGTCGACATCGAAGTGTACTATTTTCGATCGACTTACTGCATTATTGATAGAAGATTAGGTGGATTAGCTTTGACAATAACATAGATTAGAATTGGAATGGTATCATCAGCACCAGCAGCTGAATTCGACGCTAGACGAATTAGATTTTGTATAATACGTATACATCGTTGTACACATGCGACTTTATCTCGCGGGGTCTATAGAAATATTCATGTTTATCTTTACATTTCAGAATCAAAGTTAACTGCTTTTACTTTATAGGCATTGATTAAACGGAGTTCAGCTTGAGCTGATGGCCATGGGCATTCTCTTTGACATACTTTTTGTATGCGTAGTTTTTGATGATTCGGATCGAGTTGTTCAGCGAGAGTTCGAATGTGACCACTGAAAATTCTACAAAGATACAAATCACAGCAATCAACAGCTATGAAAGAGAAAAGCAAAGCGTCGTACTGATCGCGCTGAACATCAATTTGTCCATTGGGATACAATGCTGCTGTGTAGATTTTCGCCATAACCATGCGTTCAATCGATGTTTGTGACATGGTTAGTTGTTCAGGAGATGCAGCTGAAGAAAGAACATAGAAATTGTTTGAAATCAAACTTCGAATTACTTTTCCAGTTGATATCAGAAGTAATTTCTCGACAACAATCTTCGAGAAACAATTCAATCAGATGCATTTTTTCTTCAGCAATAGATAAATGTGAGAATTTATCGATTAGTTTTTGTAATAGATGTTCTTTGCTGTCAAGAAATATCTTAACCAGATAGTTGATTAGATTTTGTTTGCATAAATCTTGATCTCTAGAAAATGGTATAAACGCGAGTGTGAATGACAAATCTTCGAGTTTGCTTTACCGTTGTATTCGAACGAGCAATCTTTCTTGATGGTAGGTGATATTCAACAGATTTTCATTATTTTTTACCAAATAAGCGATATAGACTGATCTGGAGCGATAATCATCGATCATTGAACGAATTATTTCTTTACATTCATTTTCATTAAATTGTTGAACGGAACGCAAAGTTTCATACAACTGTGCTTGCAAATCACGATCTTGCAATGCGATAGCCTCGTAGAGTTGAGAACGGAGAAAAAGAAACAAATTATTCGATGATTTACGATTCGCTGATGATAATGTGGCATTGTTTTGTTGTTGAGTTTGTGGTAAGTATTGTGCAAGATTTACGGGTGAGTTAAGACAATTAATCGAATCAGTATCAGCTGATGCAAGAACGATTCGTAGTTTCTTTTTAGCATCAATGAACGCTCGACAGGTTTCTAAATTTGTTGGATCATAATAAGGAATTGTATCAGTGAACGTATCGGCCTACAAAAAGAGAGATCATTGTGTCAAAAGCCGAATTATCGATGTTATTTACTAGATTAGTTTCTGTGTGATGTTCATCCACCGCAGGAGTAACTTTTGATCCATTATCGACACTAGTTGATCCTTTATTTGAATATCGGGCGAGAATATCATCAGCCGAGACTGTTTCAGTTGAGTTTACTTCTGGATGTGAGTTGTAGTCTTCTGGAATATTACGATCGCGACGGTGCGAACTACTGTTACTTCCGGCGAGTCGGCGACGCAGGGCAGATATTGCACTAGATGAACGCTTCTCACTAGATTTACTTGTCGTCGACTAGAACGTGAAGAAAACTGAGTGAAGAAATCAATATCATCGACTCTTACTGATTTGGTAGTGGAATTTGCTGTTGCTACGTTCGGTAAACCGACATTCTGTGCTGTAGGCAATGATGCCACTTGTTCATAAGGCGCGGCAAGCGTGTTATTATTGGTAGTCTGCGTCTCACTTGATAGATCTATTAGGGGAAACCGAACTGAATGTGATTCTGTGGGTGATTTTAAAGACGGTGCAGTTTGTTGAGAAGATCTTCCACTATCAAGCAAAACACCACTGTCTGATACCTAAGTAGATAAATGAGTAAGCAGATAGAAACTTAAAAGTTGAAGCTATTCCATACAGATGGTAGACTTTCCAGTGATGATTTCATCATAAGTATGTCGACCGAATCAGCTAATCTATAGCAAAAAAAAGAGAATACATTCGAGATCAATCAAGAACGTGGGCCGTACTTTGATTCTGTAGATATAGTCAATCGGTTTTGTTGCCGAGTTAATTCTTCCATTGGCGTAGCTGAATTTGCATTCATAGAGATAGCTGGTACTATAGGAGATAAAATATGAAATCCAAAAGTCAAAATCTGATTAAATCTACCTAAAGGATCGTTGATATTCAGTGTTGACGCTGCACTGTAATTACCAGCAAGACGTAGAAGATTTGAACCATCTTCACTATGTGTTTCACTATCACTTCCAAATGCCTCCGTACTCCAACAATCTGATTGTTGATCCATCGGCTTGTTATTTTGGCTCAAGGTCTTTAATACAGAAAAGAAAAATTATAATTTACATTTTTCATTTGTCATTGCCGGGAGATCGATCACTTACTAGTCCATGACCTTCAGGCAGGAGGAGATCATTACTTCGACGATGTTCAACAATGGGTAGTTCCTCGGTGATTTCAATTAATCTAGCTGCGGCTTGCTCTTGTCCATCGATTTCTGATACTCCAGCATTCATGGTTGACCAATTGTCAGATATTGTTGAACGTGTCTCATCGCCTAAAAATCCATACGGTAGTTTTGAAAATCTCTAAATTTCTCATCGATGTCTCAGACGTACCGGCTTCAGTATTGAGACGTTGTTGTTGTGGTAAATCGAATAAGTTGAATTTATCGGAAACATCTTCGCGAAATGGTTTCTGTACTACAATGGGTAAAATAGGTCCGCGTTGTGCTGATGCAATCAGGGGATTATGAACATTATTCGTTGTTGCAGATTGACTATTGATAGTACTATCATGCGTATGCGAATGCGTGTTATTCGTACTTGTTGTCCGTCGATCGCTACTGTCGAGACTGATATGAGATGACGGAGTATCCCGACCGGACAGATTTGGTGTAGCTAGAATCACAAAAAAGAAGGTATAAATATTGAAGAGTTTTCGAATAAATTCTACCTCTTCCACTGACAGATCCATTGTCGAATAGTTGGTCACCTTCGATTTCATTTGTTGCTTTATCCAAATCATCACATGATGATGTGACGCTGAGGTTTCCTGTTGACGCTGCACCTTCACTAATGCCTTCCAAACCTTCGAGATTATCACTTATATTTCCAACACTACAGTTATCATTCAGACGAAAACGAAGTCGTTTTTCGGTGGCTGACGGATCAAATTCAGTAGCACTCGATGTTTTCAGCAATTTCGTTCTTTCGTTTTCTTGTAAAACCTAGTCAACATAAGATTATTAACTGTTATCATCCTTTTACTTTTCCATAGATAAAATCTTTTTACCTTTTCCTCGGGCAGCATGCCAGGACATTCGTTATCGCAGGATTCCAAAGTGAAAACAATCACCTCCTCACAGCTAGGAACGCTTTCCACACGTTCGGCTTTGGGAGTATGCGAATCTATTTAAAAGAGCTAACAATGACTACTCTTGATTTCGTCTCTTCTCTGTAATAACCTCGTGTTCCATTGGCACGTCGATGATGCCGATGATTATGTTCTGTAGATTGTTCATTTACAGCTGGAGTGCTAGGTACCGGTGATAAGTACGCCGGTTTGACACACTCTTCTAAAGGCATTAGTGCTTTCAAATATCCTTCTAGTTGTTGTTTTAATTCGTTATCGTTGATTTCTGTCGAAGCGCGACGACAGAATGTGATCTAAATGAATTATTTCTAGATCGATCAAACTGAAATGGAAATGTGCCACGAACCAATTGTCGGAGTTGTTTTTGTGTAATTAAAATCGTACTTCGATTAATGTTATTAGTTGACATGGTCGTCGAACGCAATGGAAACATAACACTTCGACTGGAATCGATTAAACTGTCCAAAATACTTGACACGCAGTTCTAAAGTAGAAGTCTGTCAATAAATGATCGTATAGAAACAAAAAGGTATACAGAGAGATACACAGATAACACAAAGCTGATGAAATAGACAGTGCGAATATGGAATCTTTCTTTCTCAATTAAATAGATTTCAATAAGGTAGTCTTCTATAGGGTGCACAAGGTGTTAAATTCAAAAATCAACAACATCTATGACTCACAGAAACAGATGACTCTGACTAAAAGAATCGTATATATTTGATAATATTTTACAAAAATGAAGTCTTTCCCTATTTCAATTACCTCTTTGAATTTACTGTACAGGTCTTTTGTTTTCGGATCTGTATCATTTGACATTGCCAACGTTTGAAGTATAATAGCAATCTAAATACGCAAACGATATTCTTCATAATCCTAGTGAGATTTCCTTCGTCCTATACTTGATTCAAATTATGTCGCGCAATGGTACTGATTGGTATATCAGCGATGATTCCATGTTTTTCCGGTTCACATATTGCTGGTCCGATAAATAACGTCATGATTATATCACAACATAGACACCGTATTTCTCGTAAGGATAATTCACTTGATTTCGATAAAATGATGAACATTTGTGAGATTAAAAATGATAGTGCTGTTGGAAAGAAATGCAAGGCATTACGTAAACTTTCAACAAATGTACAAGTAAATGTGTATAGTTTCATCATGATAACATAACGATATTTTTGAATTTTATCAAGATAATCTCGCGTACCTGGTTGACCAAATCTAATTAAGAACAAGAAAAATTAAATTGAGATCAATCATTACAATCCGTACTTTTTTAAACGTTCTTGTTTGGAAAATCGATTCAGTGATATATCAGGATTGATATCATAGAAAAATTCATCCTAAAATAAAACTAAGTTGAACTGATTGTCACAAATAGGAATATTCACATCAATGAGTAATTGCATAATTGGCTCATGTAAAGCAGCTGTTAAAACTAAACGTAGAAATCGCATTAGTCAATATTATCGAGACTCTTACGTTTTTACTTACAAAGTTTACAAGATTGTGATGCTGTTAAAAATGCATCGAAGACGATTTTAAATGAGCATGATGATCGTTGTAGAATAATTCTTGGATTTGATTCATTTCTCAGTTGTATATCAATCAATGACCGAAGTAATTCAAGAATGTACAATTCGTCATCATAGTACAAACATTGATTATAAATAGCCGAGATGAATATTGGTATAATGGTATTTATGAATATTCCTTCACACTTCTCTACGTGTGCTAATAATAATGCGAGCAGGTTCGGCTGTTGCCTTAGATATGTTAACAAGCGTAGATACGGTAAATCTTGTAAATAGTTGAAATATTTATGTGAATCGATAAATGTGATATTGTCAAGATTTTGTATATGTTGAAAGCATGATTTTGGTTGAATGTTTTGATCGTTACGATTTGGATAAATCAACGAGGAAAGAATGTAACGTTGATGACATGTTATCCATTGACGATGTTGAACGTTTTCAGCAAGTTTAAGAAGCTAAACGAGAAGAAGAACAATAAAGAGATGACGAAAATAAGTCACAGCGAATCGAATTACTTGAATATACTGTTCTCGAATATGCTTTTGTTCAGCAGAGACAAATGATCGTTCACGTTTTAGCTTTTTCACTAATTCAAGTAATTCTTCACTGGAAGACATTATACATCTGTCGAATGAAAGAAAAAAAAGAACGCTACTATGTCATTTCTTTTTCGCATCACCAAATACATGAACAAGGAAAAAGGATAGGAAGTCTTATTTTCATCCTAAGTATTTGTGCATAAGAAAGCACAATAACAAAAAGAAAAACAAAACTGACAAGAAGTACGAATACATGAAAAAAAAGAGAGTGAGAGAGAAGAAGCAAATCGAACACAAATGTTTATATACACAGTAAACGCGTGTTGAAGTTATTTACAAAGGCACAAAATATGTTTCAATTGGAGAAAGAATACAGAGAGATCGATTTCTATGGTATTGGAACATTCAATAATTGACTTGTATGCAATGGTTGAACAGACGTGTTTCCAGTAAAGATTGTTTTCGGTTCACAGAATGGACCGATCGTGTTAGTTGTGGATACAGCGCGAACAGCGAAAGCGTAATGACTGTTCGATTGGAATTCTTTCAATGTTACAGCCATTGGTAAACGCATTGATTTAACTGTACCAATCTATAATTTAAAAAATGCTTACGGTGAAAAAGAACGATTTTTGTGAAGAATGTACCCTTTTCCAATCGGATGTCGATGCTGTTACGCTCTGTTTGTACGCAAAGATTTCATAGGTGTGAATAGATTCCATTGGTGTCGCTGGTAGATTCCATGTTAAGCGTACTGTTGCGTTCTCTTGAGTAATACCCAGTTGTGGTCGAGCAATACTATGATCACATGGATCATGCTCAGGTAAGGAACGTAACGGAAATGTCTAAACAAAAGGCAAGAGCTAAAACGTTTTTTTTTGTACTCATTCGATGGAGATGATGTAATTTGAAACTACCATGGTACAAACTGATAACGAATATCTCTCTCAGTTGATTGTCTTACCTGTCCATTAGGAGTTGTGTTATTTGGACGAATGGTACGATTAATGGGTCCTGAAAAAAAAACGAATGTTTTATTTTGAATGTTATCAGCAATTCAAATTCACGAGTACGAGTCGCTGCAGTTGTCGCTGCTGTTGGTGATAATGATGATGATGATGATGTTGCTGTAGATGTTGTCGAAAGATGTGTAGCTGATGTTGACTAGTGATAAGAAAAAGAAGCACATTAGCAAAGATGAAAAACAAAAAGAGAGTTTTACTATTTACCTGTCGAATAGGTACAGGTCGTGATGTTGATATTTGACTGTTAGCATCATCATCCTCATCTTCCTCTGTTAGATCGACAACATCATGAGACGTGTTGCTTGTAGATGTATTCGATGAGACAGGTGATGGTGGAAGAACTGAAGGTACATTCGATTGATTATTACTAATCACGGTGGTTTTCGTAATCATCGTTGATTTTTTGCTAACTACTCCTGTTGATGTTGTGTTAACTGGTAGACGAAGACTAAGTTGTGATAGAGTCGAAGAAGATGTGAGAGGAAGGGAATTACATGCTGTAGTATAAGTCCGCGAAGTCGTTTGTGAAAAATGACTATTGTTTGTTGATTGAGAGCTCAATGTTGGTTTGTATTGTGATTCTGCCTTGCCGTTCCTAATCGGAGCGGTATCAGTCTGAATCTGTGAATCACGTACATTGGATTTCGTTTGTTGTTCTTGATCGATTTTAGTCGCAGTCGATGACTTGGGGTTTTTATTCTGCTGATAGATATTTATTAATTCTTCGTGCTGACGTTTCAACGTTTGAAGAATGCAGTTGTTGTTTAATAGTCTTTCTTGTTGCTGCTTTTGTCTAATTTGTATCAATGCTCGTTCAAATAGGATATAATCATCATTGGCCGATAGTACTGGTTTGTGGCAAAGACACATACAAGAATCAGAACGAAATGCATTTGATGTTGCTAAAAGATTTTAACATAAATGTTACTACGAACTTAAGTAAAATCAGATCAATGCAGAAGGGGAATTCTCAATGTAGGACATACCTTCGATTTCAACAATATCATCATCGACGTGTGATTGCAGGTGAGTCGATACTTGTCCCTCGCATTCCATAGGTGTATTTTCGCATACATTAGTATATACATTTGTTTCCGTTTGGTTTTCAGTCGCTATTGAAGGTAAAACTAGAGTAAACAAATATTCATCGCTAACAATATCATTTCCGCATACTATACATACGATCTGTATTATCATTCTCGGTAACTAGATTCATAATCGAATCTAAAGCACTGTGAACATCCTGAGTATCGACTGAAGCCGTTCTGGATATCTAAAGAAATAATCAACATTAGAAAGATGCTTTCAGTATTCATTGTCAAGTATCAACCTGGGTAGAGCTCGATTGAGTTGTTTCAATTGACGGCTGAGTGATTTGATCTAGAATCTGTTCGAGAATATCACAAATCACATCTTCATTAGTGTGACTATATTCTTCTGCAATAATCATTTGTTCGGTTTCATTATCAGGTATAATGAGAAATGATTCACGCTGTTGCGATTGTTGTGGACTCTCTTCTTCTACTTTAATTTGACATGGCGTAATATCAATGATTGAATCTTGTCTGCTCTCATTATCAAGATGATTGGTATTGTTGTTGTACGTTGCATAAGGTGTAGTTGGATTATTACACACAGGTAAAATTGCTGATGACTTCAATGCTTTTGATACGGTGCTTTTACGAGCCGTATGCCGATACATATCAGGCATAATACCGGCCGACATAGTTATCTAAAGCAGATAAAGGAAACAATAAAAGAGAAGTGTTCATTTTCTGATTACTATTTGTGATTTTGGAGAAGTTACATAGATCTGACGTAGAAAGAAAAACAAAAACAAAGGGAAAACAAAGTTTTGTATGAACTCGAATGTTAATTCTCATTCCTAATCATCGGTTTTTTTATATCAAAGACTTGAACTAAATTTTCCCATTGTTCCATATCTAAAGATAAAACTAATTGAGTTAACGATTGAACTTGTTCAGACTGTTTATCAGCAACATCATCATCATTTGACGATGACATGGTAAGCTGACTATTTGACTTATTCGATGGACCTAAGAATAACTTCTTGTTATTGTTGTTTGTAACATGAAAGTGTTCACTTACGTAAAACGGGTAATTGATTTTCATCCAATAACAATTCAGCTTTTCCTTCCTGGAAATTTTGAATATGCTACTTTTCTTTTGTTTGCAAATCAATTCCTACTTTGATGAGAAAGGAGACATGGAAGATATTTTCTACCGAACGAGAAAAGAGTGTTGGATGAATTGTAAATGTAAAGAAACTAATTGGTTGATCTATGAATAGAAGAAAACCCATAGAGGAGAATCAATAGAGATCGATCTGAACAGACTGTTGTTGTTTTCATAAGCTTCTTCTAAACAACGATTGATTCGAACAATTTCTTTCGATGTTTGTTCACCTTCGGATGACATTTTTGTAATCTAAAAACACAACCCTCAAGATCATAGTGTATAGCACCTTGGTCTATTACCAATTTAACTTTCGTATGTTGAGATGCATCAATAATTTCTCTAATTCGACGAGTTCTCGGCGTCATAAATGACTTTTCTAAACGTCGCCGTTCGAACCAGAACGTTGGTAAACGACCAGACCTATCAGTTCATTCTCTAAGATGATTAATTCACGTGAATCCAAGTTCTGTCTTACATGAAATTCATCATTCCAACCGTTTTATGACAATGGCAAAATTCCTGATAAAATCCTGCCGTCACGTCTTCACTATCGGCTAGATGATTTTTAATAATTTTCGCCTAAACATGCTGAAATGTTCACATTGCTTCCAACAAGAGTCAACTTACACATTTCCTAGCTAATTGAAACGCTTCTTTCGTTGTACCTTTTTTACCAATAGCAGCTGTTTGAATATAAGCAAGTGAAGAAATCGTTTTTAATGCGACTAGATCGGAACTTTTGAGAATAAAAGTTATGAGTAGACAAGAATGTTTACCTGCATCGAGAACACCTTCTCGTGGAGTTCGTACTAAAGGAAAAAGAGAAAGTAAACGAGATCGAGGTTTATCTTGGAAATATTCTTACCTTCTTCGAATAGTTCATTACATCGGTTTAGTCGAGTAAACAATTGTTTATCTTCTGGGATAACTAATTCAGGCTTGTCAACTAAAAATACGCTGAAGTTTGAATTGAGTTCAATTTATATGCGAAAATTCAGTCCGCGAGTGATATTCCAGCCCATTCTGTTAGATACGAACTGAGAAAGGAAAACGACGAAGGTCATTATGCCAGTCAGATATTTCCTTATCATACAGTGTAGGAAAACAATAATTGTAGCTTTTCTCCTCGTCTCAACACATGCAGGAAGATAATTTCAGTTAATTCTCGAGTGAAGTAATTACCACCGATAGCGTTGATCACGGAAATCGATATTAATATCAGGTTGTTTTTACATGTAGAAAAGAGCAAACGAAGAAGGCAACTCACTGTATAAGCCGCTGATTAGATATCGATAGTCAACACGTGTGTTCAATCTTTCCTTCAGCTGGCGAACAAATCGAAAACGAGAAATGATTCGTTCAAGAGACGAAACAACAAATAATGCTTACATTGTTTTGATCAACCAGTTTAGTCATGGTCATGTTTTCGTTAGGAAGAGCAGAAATATCAACCATGTTAAGATAAAATCTCTTTTCTGAAATCAAAAAGAGAAGAAGAAGAAGAAGATTATACAGATGGTTTCGGTTTCTTTCCTAGACAATTGACTTCGGTACTAAATAGTGAAATAAACACAAGACAAGCAGAAAAGGAAGGAGAAAATTTTTATTCTTGATTAGTTTTTAATACGGGAAACAATTTTACATTTCGACACATATACATAGATTCGGAGGACAGTCTCTAACGCATAATTGTAGACACCAATTTTCGATGCCGAGCAATGGTTTCAGCACTTCATTTGTTGGATAACAATGAATAGATTTCTTCTTTTTCTCGAATAGATTCAGTGAATCTTCTGATGCATAGATTGGAAATATAGATTCAGTTGTTGTTCTTGGACGAATAACGATCGGTGATGGTGCAAGAACAAGTGGTAAAATGAGAGGATGCATTAACGAATGGTCAGGTCGAGTAGTCGTCAAACGTGGACGGACATAACTCTTATCTTTCGAAGTGATGCTGATATCAGCACAACTATCAAGTACAAACTCCAATTGTGCGATGTTAGACATCAATCAAGATTTTACTTGTAGAACTCTTCTTGAGGACCACAGCCTAGACATGTTTGCCCAGTTTGTATGTTTTTGCCCCAATTGTTACCTGCATGATATCGCCATTGTAACACACATCTTGTACACGATAAGCCGCGTGGTAATTGAGCTCTAATACATGAATAGTTACTTTGTCATAATCAAACACTATGGATATATTTTGGATTTTATTACCGTAAATAGATTATATCTGTTCCTTGACTAATAGGATATTGAGTGCCAAATCCTTCGATTTGTAATAGATGTTGATCAAGACATTCTTGTGTAACTTCAACATCCGAATTGGTTGCTGGACATAAACGAAATTCCATGAAACCGTTATGATTGGCAGATAACTATCGATGGAAAGCAAAATCATTGTTAAAAACAATATACTGAAACTGAACACAGGTGTTCTCATTACCAAAATTTTGATGTCAATCAGCGCACCCGAAACAAAATGTCGTACAATTGTATTGGTAGCATATTTGCCACCTGTTTCATGGTGCCGTGGACCTGTGTAAGAATCACCACATACTCCACATTTCCCTCCTAAATTTCAATATAGACATTGAACTACGCTAATCAAGTTCCATACCATTTGTCTTTTGAACACCTAGTCCACCGCAATTTAGTCCTACGTCATCGTAATTAGCAGGAACGGCAAAACCTAGAGACAGAACTGCTTTTATCTTGCAACACTATAGAATTGATTATTTACCATAGCGCCATGCAGCATTTCGAGCTGGTGGATCTTCCATTCGGCCATGTCCACGCACATATTGAATAGCAATTAGAAGAGCAAATAACCAATTCCACAATTCTCTAATTAGAAACAAAGAAAACAATCAGATCGTTCCTCATTAATGCGCTTGAGCTTCTCTTTGTTAAAGCACATAAAAATTTGTCTTACCGATACATGTTGTATTACAGTGAAAGAATATTACATGTTTTGCATGAGGAAAACCTAGATTTCGCCTATGTACGTTCGTTCTTTTCTGAACCTCAACACTTAAACAAACTTTTCTGTCTCAGTCCACTCGAAGGACAGATTACACTTGATCTGTCGATGACGATCTATTTAATATGAAAATACGTCGTTGTCGCGAAAGCGAGACAGATGAATACACAAAACAAAAAACGATGCAGATAAAAGATAAAGCCGAACAGTTGTTTCGATTGTCTCTGATCAACAAAAGACGATCAAGTAATGCTGATCCTTTTCGTCTTCTCTCTTTCGTTCACTTAATTATGCATTAGAATATCGAAGACACTCAAACATGAAGAAAAACCTGGCATGATTCTTATGTAAATGACATTTCCTTCAAAGATTATCGTCAAATATATTTACTTATATCATCCACTAATGATTCATGATCTAAAACGGGAAGAATGACAAATCTCAGATTTGAAATTCAAAGTAAAAATTTGCGCTTTTTTCAATAATAATATTGAATGAACGTAAACGAAGAACAAACAAATAATAATTTTATCACCAATAACGCAATTTTGTAGATGGCAGTTATAAATTATTTTATGACCATCAGCGACATCATTGCGGCAAAATATGTTTTCGTTTACTGCGATCACTCAAGGTAATTTACATCATCCTTGAATAATATTTGCACTTATACAATCTTCACCGTCCTATTTTCATTCAATGAATTAATCATTTGCTTTTTATCCGATTATAGATAGATCACGAGTAATTTGACGCGAAAGTACCCCTGAGTACAGAGATTATCTTCGATGTGAACCCTCTCGTTGCATCAAAACATACAATGTGTAATTGAATTCGTAATGCATCGTCGACTATGAGCTATTGAGTCTCTTGTTCTGAGAAATGAGCAATATCAAGCCACTAATATAGGCAGAAAACGGGCGAAAGAAGATTTTGATGGAATAATTGATGAGAATGTGCGATTGTATTGAAAGAAAATGAAATGATGCACGTATTCTGTCTAGAACAATTATTTTCACACAAGACGAACAAAAAAGCATTGTTATGTTTTCTTTTTTTTTGTTAAGTTAACAACCAACAAACACGCGTCAAGAAAAGAGAAAAAGAAATGTATATATGTATGTATGAATCATGATACAAAAAAGAGAGAGAAAGAGTCAAAGAAAGCGAGACTAGCTCTAAAAGAACAGTAAAGTTTACTCCATCATCAATGTTACGCATATGTATAGATTGATAAACAAGATAGTGGTTGATGTAAATGTAAATATGTATGGTAAAGCACAATGACAAACAGAAGAGCAAGCAAGACGAATGAAGAAAGCGAGTGATTGAGAGAGAGAGAGAGAGAGAGAGAGAGAGAGAGTAAAACTTTGATTGGGATTGATTTATTATTATTCTTAGAGACGATGAGAGTAACGATTGCGAAAGGTTAAGTATTAAGACATAAGAAGGAGATTGCAAAAAATTGAATAATTAACTTTCTTAAATCACTTTGTTTATTGTTCACCGTCTTGATGTTTTCCAGATTCCGTACCTTCGTTGGATACTTCTATGCCTTGCGATTGAGTAACTGTTGCATGTGATTCGTCACCGTTACCTGTTGCCATTGTTTCTTGAGCAGTGTTATCAGTTTTAGATTTCGTCTTATCTTTAGAATCAACTTTTTTAGCGTCAGTCTAGAAACACAGAAGCGTTCATGAGGACAATCTTTGCCGGTGAAATTAGTATCTTACTTTAGCCGCACTACTACTAGTTGGCTTAGGATGAGCATTATCACCCGAGCCTACTTTTGCTTTAGCATTCCATTGTTGTTTTGGAACTGGTGCCTACGAAAAAAAGAGGTTTAGAGATGAAATCAGATGATTGTATTTAACAGATAGGGTATATTCATTATTTCGTATCGATTTTAGAGGAATTTGAAATGATACAAAATGATTCCCTTGTCGGAAGAATTGAAATTATCTAGTGAATTATTGTTTTTGTCTGTTTTGATTGATTACCTTCACACTACTAGCAGCTGATTTATGTGCAGAACTTTGGAGCGAAGTTGGTTTGGATGCTGACGAATTCCATTGAGGTTTAGCATTTGCAACCTACAGTGAAAACAAAATATCAGAAGTTCATTTGATTACTGAACGAAATGGATGAGGTCAATGGGAACAAAAGGAGTGTGTGTACGGCTCATTGTGATCAAATAAACGAGAGGAGATAGTAAATTTGATTGAGAATGTAATCGAAGTTGATAATAGATTATTGTTCATCATATGGCCTCCGAGTAGAATGTTGATAATAGCCGGTTCTCAGGAAAAACATATTGTGTGCGGATTTCTATAATAGAACAAAAACTAATTTAAAATCACTTATATAGACATTTAGATTGTCATCATTTGGGTGAAATGTGCACTTGGCATACATATCTGTGAACCTGTCCTTCTCCTTTATTGTGCAGTGAATATCTATGGAGAATAGTGTTATTTAATTATGGATAGAACACCAGTGTGTCAGGTGTATTGCTGGATGACGTTCTGACTACTGAGCATTGATTCCAGGTAATAGGTTAGAATGCAGAATGGCTTCTTAGCGCGAACTCGGTAAGCAATGAACTATCGCCGAGCTCCTTTTTGTTTTATTCATTCAGTGAATCTAGCGAAAAAAGACGAAAGAACGTTCTCTTACCGCATTTTTTTCGTAGAGGTCGCATCATTGTTGGGCATAACGAGACAAGTGTATAAGGTTGCATAAAATAAAAAATGCCGAATTATCTTCAATCATTAATTGTATTTTATGATAAGGATAATATGATCAGCCGAGAATGTTTATGTCGGCAGTAAATGAGCCGATAAAAGTTGTTGGAAGGAATAACTCTCTGATTTTATTACCTTTCGAGGCAGATGCTCTCAGAAAGTTTTTTCGGTTTAAGAGATCAATATGAGCCGTTCACATGTAGGAAAAAGAACTTGATGAAAAGCAATGTCAGCTATCTTACCGTGGTATTTTCACGCCCTGGACGCGAAGAAGCTTCGAATGTTGTTGGACGGTTAGCACTTGTTGAGCGTTTAGAGTCAACTGTAGTTGATGTACTAGCCGCTGTAGCTGGTCGTGTAGCTAATAAGAACGAATGTGATCTGCTTAATTTAACTGTCGAATAGAGGATCTCTTACTTGAAACTCGAGTATGGGACGTCGGGCGGTCTTTGGAGACCGTTGTCTTACTAGTATGAGCAGCTGCACGTGATGCGGCTGTTGATGCAGTCAAATGGGAAGAAACACCAGTGGTACCACTGGTTGCAGTCTTTGCTGGCGGTTTAGCTGCCGAAAGTGGTGGACGAGTGCCTGTCTTGGTGGTTTGTGCTGCTGACGTCGATGAACTACTGTCTGGTGCTGTGGAAATGGTGCCTGTATGTTGATCGGAAGTAGCCACATCCGTAGTTTTATGAATTGTTGAAGGTCGTGTTGGCTTTGTCGCAGGTGCTTTTACTGTTGGTCGTGTCGCAGATGCGGCTGACGTGACCGCTGGTTTTGGTTTTGCAGCAGCAGTAGCAGCAGCTGCTGTTATGGAAGTTGTCGATTTGACTGGAACATCACGCTAGAGAAACATGTATGAGATTTGTCATACAAGACAGATAAAAAGACGTACCGTAGGTTTTGGAACAGCTGAAGTTTCATGTGAAGGAGACGTTGTTGATGTCGTTGCAGTCTTTGGTTTATGAGAAGCTGTTGTACTTGCTGTAGGTGCCGAATGAGGAACTTTGCGCACAGTTGATGGGGCTTTGATTTCGGCAGCCTTAGTAGTTGACGGTGCCGGTTTATGCTCAGCAGTTTTCGATGCAGCAGCAGCTGCTGTTGATTTATGTTCTGTTGTTTTTGACGCTGCAGCTGTTGCCGGTGATTTATGATCTGCAGTTCTCATTGAACTAGGAGTAGTTGATGACGCAAGAGATGATTTTGCTTTGGCTGCAGCACTTGATCGCGGAGCACTAGCTGTGCCTACTGTCTTCTTTGTTGAGGGTGTAGTAGCCGTCGAGGGCGATGCTGGTACAGATGTTTTTGGTGAAGCAGCAAGCGGCAAAGTTGATTCCAACTTAGGTGATGTAGCAGGCGGAGCTGTTTCCCCTACAGGTTCATGTTGTTCCGTCACTAGTGGTGCTTGTGTTTCCTCGTCGGACGGTTCTGTGTTCGGAAACGCTGGTGGTGGCTGATGGCCAGGTGTGCCTGCTGGTGAAGGTGAGGTAACAAGATCAAGTTTGTTTGCTAATTCGTTAGCAGCAGTATTCACTTCTTCACATGCTTCATCGTAAAGATGTTTTTCATTTGCATCGCTTTCCGATTGAACATTGTCATTCGTATGAGATGATGATGCTAGCAAGTTTTCTTCTTCATGTACTGATTTCTCTTCGGTAGGCGAGGAAACAACTTCTTCAACAACTGGTGATTCGATCTCTTCATGATCCTCTGTCACAGGGGAGGTCAGATTTTCATGTTCTTGTTGTTGTCGATGTTCTTCAACTGGTGAATGAACGCTACTTGCTTGTTCGTTGATAGGCGACGAAATAGTTTCAGTATGTTCATCTTTGACAGGTGACTGAATTTCTTCGTGCTGTTCCTTTGTAGGTGATTGATCATCTTGATGTTGTTCTTTGACGGGCGAAGCGAGATTTTCAAAAGGATCATCTTTGACAGGCGATTGTATTTCGTTCTGGTGTTCTTTAACTGGTGCTTCAATATGTTCGAAGTCGTCTGTAACAGGTGAATGTAAATCTTCATGATGCTCTTCTTTGACTGGTGATTGAAGCGCTTGGTGCTCTTCTTTGACTGGTGATTGAAGCGTTTGGTGCTCTTCTTTGACTGGCGACTGAATTTCTTTGTGGTCTTCTTTAACAGGTGAAGAAATAGGCTCAGCATGCTGCTGTTCTTCTTCCTTAACAGGCAATTGCATGCTACCGCGTTGTTCTTCTACTGGTGATTGAAGTTCTTGATTTTGTTCCAAAGCAGGCGATGGCAGACTTTGTACCGGTGAGTGGACTCCTTCGTGGTGTTCATCTACAGATGCAGTAAGACCTGCTGTAAATTGTTCTTTAACAGGTGATGCCACGTGTTCATTTTGTTGCTCTTTGACTGGCGATTGTAAGCCAGCTTCAAAGTCTACTTTGACTAGAGATTGACTGTGATCGTGTTGTTCTGGCTGTTCCTCGACTGGAGAATGATCAACCTCATGATGATCATCTTGAACAGGCGACTGAATAACACCTTCCTTTGTCGGAGTTCCTGCAGCTAGACTCGATTCTTCATCATCATGTTTATCTGTATGTCCATGATAGTGCTCATCATTTTGACGCTGTGGTGATAAAATATCTATAAATGATACAAATAGTAAATTGTCTCGTGACAAGACATGTATCAATTTACCTGTATGAGCACGATTGACAGCGGGCGCATTTGGATCGAAATCTAACAGAAGTGAATTTCTATCTAATAGACCACCATTAACATTCGAATGAAAATTTAACGGTGAATCAGCTGATTCTTCATTTTTTCGTGTTGAAAATTCATAATGCTGTGGCTGATAATCATGCGACGGTACTATAAAAAGCAAAGGTCACCAAATAGTAATCTTTCTCTCTTCTATCAATCAAATCTTACAATTTTCATTCGTATCCACCGGAAAGAGATCATTATTTAAAGAATATTCGTGATGTTCATCGTGTTGAGTACCATTAGAACCATTATGATGTTCATCTTTATTGGTTCCATTGCTTGTATGATATTCTTCTGTGTTCATATTGTTGCCATTATGATTACCGAATGGATCCAACGATTTCGCTGATCCATTTTCGTATAAATCAATCGATTTCTGTTTGGTTGGTGTTGTCACTGTTGGTGATAATTGTTGTTGATGATCAAAGGAAACATGCGAATCATCGAGTGGACTTCTATCCGACATGAGTAGTCGTAATTCAAGTTTTTAGTATAGAAATCTGCAAAAAACGAATGTCATGACAAATATTGAAAAGAGATGACAATAATGACCTTTATCAGAATATATATTTTTTCTTCTTCTATCAATATTATACAAAATGATAGTCTGTCTGATAGGCAGACAGAGAGAAGGACAACTTCGGTCTTTTCTTGCTTATATCGCAATCTTTCTCAATAGGATCAAATAACCAAACGGACACGATGATAAATGGATGACTGCGTGGAATCGTTGATGGTAATGCTTCTAGCTATAAACAACGAAATACATAGAAGAAAGAGGAGAAGGAGAAGAAGGAAAAACGATCAACGAACGAATGAGAAACGAGAGAAACAGTTGAACAACTGGGCACAACTAGATGTATGCATCAGCTTGTACAATCGTACATAGATATGGACATGTATAGAAATTTGCGACTGGTACCAGATGTGCATAAGAAATGTGAGAACTACTTTTTGAATAGAAAGAAATTGTTTCAAGAAGTTTATCAACATACATCTTATACCTTATTGAGAATTTTCAATGAACGCAAAAAAGAACATCAGAGGAACAAATTCGCGTTAGTAGAAATAAAGATGATTATTACTCTTCTACAGAAATCACCCAAATAAAAGGAGAACTGTTGTTCAATCTAGAAACAATTTATCTTCTAAAGAATTTCTTCGATGTCATTATCTAAATGGAACATTTCTGTTTTTGTCTGCTATTCCAGTAGAACGAGAATGATCGGATAAGAAATTATCTTAGAAAACTTCAGCTGACCTTTTGAACTTGTCAACACATGTTTAGATAATCTTTTAGTTTGATTATCAACACCTGCTTGAACTCAATTATCTACATTTTTTTATAAACCTGACAACTGTCTTAAATGATCAAATGAGAAAAGAATTTCCTACCCAGCAGATATGACCCATCGGCTAAAAATATAATTGCAAGACAAAGAAAAAGAACATACTGTTATTCTTATTTAGGGTGTCTAATCAGATATTGCTGTTCTATATGGATAGAACGAAGGAAATTAATTAATGTAAGTGTTATTTTATCATCGGATTGGCTTAGATTTCACTAAGATACAATTACTGTTTGACAACGAAAGACATTAGGACATGAAAAACTATAAAATAATTTTTTTCAACATAATGACTAGTGTCATCGATGTATGTATGTATATATACATCTATCTATTGAAATCAAAAGAGAGTACTTTCGACCTTCTCCATCTCTCTCTCGAACGTTTCGACATCTGTCGTCAATGAGCCGATCAATTGGCCAATTCAAATCTTCATCTAAACCTAATTGTTAACGGGAGGGGTAGGAGAAAAAGAAGAAGAAAGTGAGTGAAAGTAACGACAAACGTTCCTTTGTGTAGATAATTTCCGTTCGATGTAAATAAGCACATAAAAAAAGATCAAAATGGTTTCTAATCGACGTTCGTCTGCAATAAATCATTCAAACACTTGTCCTATCAAGCAAAAATAATAAACAAACCTTACCGATTTCTTTTTTACAAAACACATATGTCTGATTCTTCGTTTCTTTCTTACTAATGATACTATTCAAGCAACTATGTTAGTATTTTCTTATTTTCAGTTTTTACTTTGTCCGTTTCTGTCTTTCTCTTTCTTTTCTATGTCAATCAGAAATGATTCAGCGATACTACCATACTTGCGCGAAAATAATATTTCTGCTTCTGCTTGCCCGACTCATTTTTTCTTCTTCTTTACTTTACCCGGTACCGTTGTTGCTGTTGCTGGTGATGACGCAGCCGTCAGTCAATGCTTGATTTCCTTTATTGCGCACACGTCGAACACGGAGAGTCAGAAAAGAAGAAAAGCAACAGCTATGACTCGTTCATAAATGGAAAATGAGTGGAAATCTCATCATATGATGTTGAAAAAAAGAAAAAGAAAGCGCCGGTGCAAAAAGAAATGAACAACTCGTTTTTTTTCTTCTCCTATGTGTATCAAATCAAATAAATTAAAATTAATTTAGCTCGCAATCAAGAAGAGAAAATTTTCAAAGGACCAGACAAAGAACATATCGACATATACAATAAAAACGAAGACGCATAATACAATGAAGAATAATAACAAAAACAGATGACAGACACTATAGTTTCCCCTCGTTCGTTCTTTCTGTCTATAGAATACATTTACATGATTTAGAAGAACAAATGATGAGACGAAACTAGTAGCTCCCAATTTATTTCTTGTTCCTCTCTCTCGTTCTATCGGTCTCGTTCTTTCATTTTTTTTACTTAGCTTTTTCTATTAGATGAAAAGCTAACAAAAAAATGTCCAGCACGAAAATCTCTGGAGAAATAGATGATGAGGATACAGATCGACAAACGAGAGTAAGAATGAAATTAAATAAACTCCCCCTTGTCATTTTCCTTTCTTTTTTATATGTGTCTCATGTGCACGATGGTAGAAGTTAAATACATACGAGTCGAACCAAAACTTCTCTTGGCACGATGAATCCGTAAAAACAAGATTAATTTCTAACAAAAAACACTCTTTCTCGGTTTCCTTCAAGTTCGCTCATATAAATAATAAAATTAATATGGCTTACGGACTTATTTTCCTTTTTCCTACAGCTTGTATTGTTCACCAGAAAAATACCGAATACAATCGACAGCAATGTACAAATGCGTTTCATACAGACAATGAGACGACGAAGAAGAGAAGAGAACTAGCTAGAAGAGGATATTGCTGACCACCATTATTATAGATATTTTTCTCCTCTTCTCTCGTTTTCCATTTTATCCATTCAGTCGATGTCAGTCAGCAGATGACGCCATTTGTTGATTAGAGAGAAAATCATCTGCCGGAACCTGCCAACAAAAAGTGTGTTTCCTTTTGTATGTAAAATATTATCATAAAATGTGCATTTGTTGTAATGTACATTGAACCATATGATGAATGGTAATAGCCAATAATGGTTCAAAAAGAACAATATGAATAGCTAATTTACTCAAGTGATCGCACACTGATTGAGTTCATACACAGAATGCAAAGAGACTCAATGACTGTTCTTGTTTTCTTTTTTTTTTCATACTTCTCCTATCGATATCTCAAGTGTTGATAACGAGCATTGCATGTTCTACTTATCGTATGTTATTTTGATATTGATTGTGATTTGAATGAGTAGTGCTGTTCTCTTACTATAATGCGCGTAGCGTGTCTATAACAATTTTCACGTGTGATGTTCACGGATGCAAGCGTTACTTTCGTTAATTATTATAAGATCAAACAATAAGAGACAAGCATATTTATAGGTCTGACAATGGATTTCGGTTTGTGACAGGCAAATGAATTATTAACTGTTGAATAACGTTTTGTTCTTTGCTACATGCAGCTGTTTCCCTCGAACGACATATCACTTGTCATTTTATTTCGAAATTTCATTGTTGAAATACACAAAGACAATAGCTTTATGCCGAATTCTAATCATGAAGAATATTTCGAACATAATAATTCGCGGGTGTTGCAGATAATCTTCTATGCTTTGAGGAATGTTTCTGTCGTTTACGTTTCAATATTTTGCCTCCATTTAATACTTTTTCATGTGCGTAAGTGAAGATGACCGTTGAGAAGGAGTATATTGAAATGAAAAGAGCTCGTTGAGTTCTACCTAGTATACGAGGCACAATGAATCGTATTTTTGAAAAGTGAAATCACCGACCCAGTCATTCACATCAAAAGCGGAATAGTTCATGAGACTTTTCCGAAAACAAACATGATGGCGATAATAATTTCAATGATGAAATTCTTGAGGAAGAAGATTTCTTGTATCAGTTGGCCCTTTAAGTTAAAAATTTCTGATTTCGAAAGTTTGGTTTTTCAATTCCAGTTCGTAAAATAATCTATTGCGTTATGAAATAAAGCTTTTTCTTTAGATGAACGATTTTGTTTCATTTATCAGAGCCACGAAAAAAATCTAGAGTTTCCGATATTTGCTCGCATTCTTCTAAATCCAAATCAATCATACATAGAATAATCATTCAGCTCGCACGGCTCTCATCATATCTTTTCAAAAAGATTATGTCATGATAAGTGTTACCCTTAAAACTCATTATTTCCACGTCGTATTGAAACACAACTCGTGTAGAACCAACTTCTTCGGTTATTCGTACTACATTGCTGTAATTGACATCACTTGCTGAAAAGAATATCAATGACGACAAAAATTTATTAATTTTCTGTAGAGATAAATAATGTTTCATTCAATTCTTTTCCTAGTGCTTCCAAAATTTCAAGGCCAAGCTGTGGTTTTTCACGATCCTGCGAATTCGTATTTGGATAAATTTTATGAATAGCAACTTGAATATTATTGATGGTAGTGTTGTTGTTCGACGGATAAGCTGCTGGTAATCTTTTCGACATCTTTAGCTAATCCCGTGAATTTCTTCTGTTCTTTCTGGATTAAATAAAATAGTTTATGAAAAAACCACGAATAGATGGAATAATTTCATTTAAATCATTAATTGTTTCTTGATTGAGATTATCCCAGGTCAAACAATTCGGTCTGGAACCGGCCAGTTTCAGGACCGTCTGCAGATTTCATCGGAGCAATACTCCGATTATTAAACCCTGTCCTCGGATTTAGCCGATTATCTTGGGAACTGGCGGGAACCTGCTATAGCTGATAATCGGATACGATCCCTGATCCCCTATAAGCAGAATTTCAGGCACTTTTCCATAGTATCCAGCGCGGAAATCATGGATATCCTGCAGGCATTCACCAGACATAAGCGAAGTCCTGCTTTCACGAATCATGGTTCTGGGTATGTTCCAAAGAAGATCGAGGAAATCATTTAAATTCTGCTGTGTTTCACTCAATGTTAAATGATGTGACGATTTTTCAACAGGCTTATCGAAAATAATCCGCATTTCGGATGTTTCGTCGTTGATATCATATAACTGTGTTGTACCATTTAGCAACCCGACAGTAATATTAAAAAGAGATTTTATGATAGGTGATGCCAATAGTAGTGATGAAATGATATTACTCATCGACCGCGCTGTGTCTTTGAAATCTGAAATTTTCGACAGGTACCTCGAAACAATTTATTCAAAAATCTACACTTACCGATTTGTCCTGGTTTAACCGATATTCACTGTTTCGTGCCATGGAAAAATAAAGATCTAAAATGAAATTGAAATACATATATATGTTCAATCCATTACTAATGTTAGACAGTAATATCAGGTACTTGACAGTCAACAATTTGTAAGAAACGATTTATTTATTAATGGTAAATACTTAGAAAGTAAATGGGAATCAATTTCTTACTGATCAAGAACATTGAGCCATTCAAAAGAACGAGTTTTAGAATAAACAATGAGCGTGAACGACATCTAGTCCTATCAATTGATGATCTGGATATTCTCCCTGGCCTCCGATTGCGAATTTCTTGAAAAATAGGAATCCTTAGAGGACTGATTCCGTCTGAAAAAAAGGATTTTCAATAAAAATGACAAAAATATAGGTTTATATATTCTTTGCCAAAACANCTGATCAAGAACATTGAGCCATTCAAAAGAACGAGTTTTAGAATAAACAATGAGCGTGAACGACATCTAGTCCTATCAATTGATGATCTGGATATTCTCCCTGGCCTCCGATTGCGAATTTCTTGAAAAATAGGAATCCTTAGAGGACTGATTCCGTCTGAAAAAAAGGATTTTCAATAAAAATGACAAAAATATAGGTTTATATATTCTTTGCCAAAACAAATCGTTTTTTATCTTTCATATTTCCTTCCTTTTCTCTGATAGAATTACCGTCAACGATTACACTTATTTCAAGGTCTATGTGTGATTTTTTGCTATGAAAATAAATATTTAAATGAAATTTTGTTGCAAAGTTCGATTGAGACGTGATTTATTCACATTTTATCCAATAACAAAAAGAACTAAATCCCAAACTTTCAAAAAATAGATACTGCAAAGCAAACAAATACATTTTTTCACTTAATTAGGTAATTAAATAAATGCTCATTTATATTTGTACATAAATACTTGAAGAATAAATGTCGAATCTGACCCGCCATACATCCGTTGCATCGTGTTATTTTTGTTCACATATTTTCATCTTTTTTGTTATTGATTGCTCGTGAAGAAAAAGATCCTTTCTTTTCAATCGAAGTTTATCAAGTTCGTCGGTCAACTGCTGTTGTTGTTCACTAACACACACCAGTTTTTCACGACCACCACAAATCAAAAGATTTGCTGCGTATACTTCGGACAAAACACCACTTTTTAACGCTCCTTCTAATCGATTGGTTCCTTCTTTGATTAAAGACTCAGCTTCTTTCAGCTGAGTTTCAAGGTTTTTCTGTTTGTTCAATAACTGTTTTTCATCTTCAAGATGCTGTTGCTTTTCGTTTTGAATAGTTTCTTTTTCGGCATTCTTTTTGTTGAAAAGAGCAATTGACAGTTTCTCTGCCATCAATTCTTCCCGATAAACACTCGATGATCTCTTCACTGCATTGATCATATCTGTATTCACAACTACCTGAAAGGACGGATTGAGATATAGAAATAGAACAGCAATTAATATTACTTTATGTGCTGATCCACCACCAAAAAATTTTACTCCATCATGGACTAATCTCAGTCCATTTACTGAGGATTCAGATAATGATGATCGATTTTCCGTGACAATATTCGAATTGATACTAAAACCTCTCTCAACGTCGGCATTACCATGTGAAATAATCAAAGCGTTTTTTATAAGCTTGGTCATTGTTGGATATTTCGGTACACCTTTATCGGTTAAGATTACAAACACTTTGTTCCAGTAATCATCAATACGATGATATTTAACATGATTGTTACCATTCAAATCAACATATTCATCTTTGACAAACCATGATCGATCAATCACTTCGATAGAGTATAAAAGCCATTCGTTTTCTAAAGCATCAATATCTGAATCATTCAGTAAATTAGGAATAGCTCGAGCTACTCGAACAATTTGATCACCACTTGATAAATCAGTTCTTGATGAACAATTTAATACTTGTAAATCTCGCAGCAACATATTATTGAGAGGAAGATTTTTCTTCAAATAAGCACCAATCGATTTGTAAATCTTTCGGATATCTTCATAAAAAGTTTTCTTTTCATCGAAACTAAGTGATGGTACCAGTTTTCTTGTTTGTTCACCTAAGAAAATGGCGTCGATTGGAGTAGAAAATTTGGATATAACTTACCGATTCTAATTTCTTTATCTGATAGCCATATAGAAGATTGTTCAAGATCAACATTTAACAGATCTGACCCAGATTTCTGTTGAACAGAATCTGGTTTTAAAAATGCCAAAAGAATATTTCGATATAACTCCGTAAGTTCCTTGTATAATAAATGAATCAAAGGTTCTTCACATTGAAAAAATGTTAAAAATCGATCGAATATATTTTGACATAAAAACAAAACGAAATTGAGTCTGACTTTTGCTAAATTCGATGATAAAACTAGTTTGATATTATCAAAACGTTTGTTTTTTTGAATTTGAGAAGATTGTTTCTCGGGTAAAAAACGAAGAAAATAATCACATAAAACTTCCCATTGAACTAAACGACAAAACACATGACAGTATCAAAAGAAAACAGAAAATATACTTAGAATTCGATTGACAACTTTTCCCATCAAAACCCATCTTGTGATACAAAAATACAAAATCGTTTTTTCTAATGCAGAATCAATATCATCAACTACACTTTGGAAATCTTCCTGTCGAGCTGGTGAACATTTAAACCAAGAGTAGAGATCCAAGCAAAAATTGTCCACATACCATTTGGATGACGTCATACCACTTTTGAAAGCATTGTGAACGGTATGAATGGAACAACCCCCAATTCTCAGTAAGCATCCACCTTGTTTCTTCATTTCTGTATTGATCAAATTTTCAAGTGAAATATTCACATTTGGATTATCTCTACCAAGCATAAGGAGCTTATTCAAATTTAATCCATCAGTAGCAAATGATTCCAAAATAACATCACGAAGTGTTGTTGCATATGCATGACCTAATACAACTGATTTATAAAAACGATTCACAACACCTTGTTTTTCATTGCACCAATAGCGAAAAAACATATCTAACTGCTTTTTGTTTTGGTTATTTGTTTGTTCATCGAATATGAGTGTGAATTTGTCAGCTTTTTTAACATCTTCAAGCATTTGTTTTTTGAAATAAGGTCCTAAACCATGTGAAATCACATAAGACATCTTGTCGGATTGAATGCTAAATTTTTTAGCGATAGAAGAGTCAGGAAACATCAATGGAAACAGCTCGTTTAATTCGTTGCACGAGCTATAACTAAATCCTTTTTGTGCAACATTTAACGACCACAAAACTTCAGCTTTTGTTATCTGGTCTTCTGAACTCAGAAGTTTATCTTTGTGATTCTTTTCTAAAACTGGAACAGACATAGAAGAAGAGTTTGACGCATTAGCTGGGCGTGACGATGGTGATAATGATGATAAAACAGTAAATTTCGTATTTTGTTTCCATTGATTGAGAATATTTTTATGCTTATAATTACTCATATGTTGTTCAATTGCTTTCCAGCCTTGATTTCCACAATTCAGATCATTTGTTTGGCATAAACTACATCTAAAAGTAGTTTCTGTTGAACCACTTTTCAGCCATATTTGTACCGGGTTGTTGTCAGAATCAACCCTACTGAACCAACTTGTATTGAACTTAGTTAGATTTTTTGGCATTATAGTTACACAATGAATAATGATACAGGATAATCTATTGCTTGGATTTATCTACAATAGTTATTTTACAGATGTACTGTAGATGAACGAGTTTTCTCAACAGAAGAAATTATACATGTCGCATGTGTCTGCGACAGCTTATCACAACAATACGCATACTTGTACAGTATAGCTGCAGTAAAAGTTCATAAGACACATGATGACGTTTCACATTAGATTATCCTTTTGATTGTTCGATCGTAAGGGGATTGGATTTATCTATTTATCCATCCATTCATCGAAAACGTAAGAATACAAAAAGTGTTGCGCGTAATAGATGTCACTATCTTGAGCGAACGAACTGAAAATGCATACACAAAAGCACGTACGTGTATTCGATCCAATTTGTTTGATGCATAGAGAAAGATTTTTTGATATTCTCTCACCAACTGATGCTCAGCTCCACTAATATTCTCTGAATAATCTTTAGTTTTTCCATGTTTCTATGAAATTAGTTGCATTTCGCTATTTTTTAATAAGATATAGGTAAAATAGGAAAAGCAGTGGAAATACAGGACAAAATATAGGTTTTTGCAAAAACATAGGATTTAGAGGAAAAATAGGTCGAATCGCAGGCCAG